CAAGGAATTCCTAACAGGATCTGATCTCAATGGCTGAGTTTCATAATGTTGAACTTTCCAAGCATGGATCACTCATCGATTTTCACGATTAGGATGCAGTAGTGAGTGATTGTGCCTCCTTTCACATAGCTTCCATCTGCAGTGGTAACCTGGAATGGTTTCATAAGTTTATGCATTCGGATTTTATGAAGCTTAACAAAGTCTTCAGAGATAAAAGTTCCAGCGGCTCCAGAATCAATGACAGCAGTTGTTTCAACAGTTTTCAGGCGAGTTCTGGAGATAAGGGAAATGGGAATGCGAAGTTCCTTTCTGATTCCTACACCTCAAACAAGTCTAATAGGTACATTGGAAGATACTGACATCGATCCAGTCTTCCACATCAAAAATCCTCATTGATACAATGGATTTCTTCTTCATCTTCTTCTTCGGCTGGCTTGGTGCGATGCACAGGAGCTTTGTCATTCTTCTTCTTGGGGCAGTTATGGGAGACATGACCCTTCTGGTGACAGTTGAAGCACTTGCCATTCTGGTAATGTTCAGTCTTCTCTTCCTCAGTGAGGCGGTCAACCTCCATAGCATTGGGGTTGTGGCAATCAATGGAGGGTCTGGGAACATAACATTGACCAGTAGGCTTTGTGGTCGTGCGATTGTTATTGTGGAAAATCACACCATGTTGCCAATTACCATCAAGTCTAATTAAGGCTTGGACATATTTGTCGAAGTCCATAGGGATGGTTTCCATCTGATAAATGGTGTTACTGATTCCCTTCTTGAGTCCATCATTGAAGAACATAATCAGGATGGCATCTTGCTTTACAGCGGCTTGTGCAGCAAGGGTCCTGAAACTGGTGATATAGGAAGTAAGGTCACCCATTTGCTTCAGGGTTCAGAGTTTATTCATAGCAGTACCAACAGTGTCTGCTGGTACAAATGCTTCTTTGAACTTGGCTTCGAAGTTTGCAAAGGTCCCATAAGATTTCAAGGTGGAGTTGTCTACTTCAGTGTAAAACATTAATGCCCATCCCATAGCACTATCTTTAGTCATATACACAAGTGCAGTAATGACCTTCTTCTCATTAGTGTTGTAAACTGAAGAGTTAATGGCAAAATATGCTTTCACTGAAAACAACCATCTTAAAGCATGGTCAGGGCTTCTGTTGTAGTCTTTTGGTGTTCCAACTTTGAGTTTGGATGAAGAGCTAGACATTCTGATACTAGGATGTGCAGAAAGATTTCAGGGTGGCTGTTCTTCTGGGAATTCATCTGCTGATGTAGTCAAATGTTGGTCGTGTTCTGTGGTTACAGGGGATGGAATTCATCTCTCTCTGTTTTCTGTGATATCCAGACCTTCGGCCTCGTGATATTCTTCTTCTGGTTCTGTGGGGATGTCATTTGGATCACTCTCCCACCAATACTTTCTAACCCAAGGGGTCATCTTGCTTTGAGCTACTGGGGCCTCCCTGGGTGGAGAGGTTTGATAGGGACTTTAATCTTTTGTTATGAACTAGGGTAGTTCTTAACAACAAGCAACTCAATAAGAGTTAAGGACTTCTTGTTGAGATTCTATGCAAGATGATAAGTCTAGTGTTCAGTGTAAGCTAAGGTAGAGGGAGTGCCTCTATCTTAAAGTATGGTTTAGATGACGAGAGATTGGGGGTCTCAAGTGAAGGATATTCAAGGTAAAACCTAGTAAGATTAAAGTAAGGAACTAAAGCATACAGGAGAACTATTTATAGTAAACTACTGTGCTTTAGGGCAGGCATGAGAATAGAATGAGTCAGAGATACAGTGGCTCAAAAAACTGTCCACATGTTTTTGCATTTTTTACTATTTATAATATTGTGTGAGAATACATAAAGACCTCAGTGACATGCTAATACCATATTGTAGTGCTGCTTCAGGGCTTTGGATTGAGCACCACATCGTGAGAATCAGAGGAGATCTGGTGGAGATACAAGGCTTACAAAATCATGACTCATGCGGACAGTTTTTTGAGCACATATTAAAACTATATAAATCATCATTTATGACACCATAACAATCATGCCACCATTAAATAAATTATAAAGTGGTGTCATTATGTCATTTTAAAACCATATCTAACTATACAAACCAAAAATTTCCATATGTCATGGTTATATTCACTATGAAAGCCACCCCCCCTGCTCAAAGGGATAATATCCTCTCTCTTTCCTATTCTGGCCTCTCTGCTTGTCAAATTTCCTCTAGAACTGGAGTATCCAAGTCCACTGTGGCCAAGTTCATCAAAGAAAGTCACACAGACAAGGAAAACTTCTGTGAAGGGCATTCATCCAAGCTCACCTCTACTGATAGGAGGGCTATTATTCAACATATCACTACAGGAAGGGCTGATAATGCTGTCCAGGTCACCTATTACATCAATTCCACCATCACATTCCCTGTCTCTTCACACACTGTGAGAAACATTCTCAAGACAGCTCATCTCAGGTCAGTAACAAGGAAGAAAAGGCTCTCCTCTCTATCACACATATGCAGAGATGACTAACCTTTGCCTTAGCCCATCAGAATTGGATTACATGGACTGGAACCATGTTATATGATCATATAAGACCACAATAAATAGGATTGGGTCAGATGGCAAGGTATATATGTGAAACAAGAAGGGTGCTAGTCCTCTCTGCATATGTGTGATAGAGAGGAGAGCCTTTTCTTCCTTGTTACTGACCTGAGATGAGCTGTCTTGAGAATGTTTCTCACAGTGTGTGAAGAGACAGGGAATGTGATGGTGGAATTGATGTAATAGGTGACCTGGACAGCATTATCAGCCCTTCCTGTAGTGATATGTTGAATAATAGCCCTCCTATCAGTAGAGGTGAGCTTGGATGAATGCCCTTCACAGAAGTTTTCCTTGTCTGTGTGACTTTCTTTGATGAACTTGGCCACAGTGGACTTGGATACTCCAGTTCTAGAGGAAATTTGACAAGCAGAGAGGCCAGAATAGGAAAGAGAGAGGATATTATCCCTTTGAGCAGGGGGGGTGGCTTTCATAGTGAATATAACCATGACATATGGAAATTTTTGGTTTGTATAGTTAGATATGGTTTTAAAATGACATAATGACACCACTTTATAATTTATTTAATGGTGGCATGATTGTTATGGTGTCATAAATGATGATTTATATAGTTTTAATATGTGCTCAAAAAACTGTCCGCATGAGTCATGATTTTGTAAGCCTTGTATCTCCACCAGATCTCCTCTGATTCTCACGATGTGGTGCTCAATCCAAAGCCCTGAAGCAGCACTACAATATGGTATTAGCATGTCACTGAGGTCTTTATGTATTCTCACACAATATTATAAATAGTAAAAAATGCAAAAACATGTGGACAGTTTTTTGAGCCACTGTAAGGCAATAGCAAGAATAGGTCATCTAACAATGGCAACGGCAGTTGCAATGTAATACAAAGTACGAGTCAGAGATAAGTCTAGCAGTGGCATCATGCGGCTCATGACATAATACACAGTAAGAAGGGAAAATGAATAGGGGCCTACATTGTTGTAACAGCATTGGCAACAACTCCATATGCACCTGCTGATGGGCGCAAACCAAAACAGGTACAGGTGCCAATACAAAAATGCTTATCAGATATACGAACCACTGAACCTGGCCACTGAGAGGGGTGTAAGGGAACAGTGCAATATGCCTCCACGACGTCTCTTGTGGCCAGTTGGGAACCTGGGGGTAGACAGCTGATGGTGAGGGAGAGAATGTGAAATGTGCCCCAAGTACTGGGAAAGTTATCCGGATTGATATATGAATTAATAGAAGGGTTAGGAAACTTCTGCAATGTGTCATGCAGGAAAGAATAGTTCTGAATGATGCAAAAATGCCCAGGGTGTCCAGGTTTGGGTATAATTGAGAAAGGCAATGACTGAAAGGGGCCAATAAGACCTTCGACTTCATTGGCCGAGAGCAGCCCAATGTATCTACCCTTGCTAATCTCAGATTGGATGATTGATAAGAATTCTTGCTCATATGTAATAATGGAGTCTTTGTTGTATGGGGTTTGCATGACTTTAATATTTGGAATGTCAAGGCGAAAGCCTCGACAAAGTCCATTAGGTACATGTGGGTATCTGTTAATGAGTCTGGATATCGCGAGTTTGGCATTCCAAACATCAACCTTGTAAGGAGATATTGCGTTATGCCTTCTGTGCTCGAGGGCAGCTTTGAGCTCCATGAGTGGATGCTGCGCAACCTGAACAGAAGTGTCACCGATCATGGGAAGTGTCACTGCAGCCTGAGGCGTGCTGCCAGTCGCTGCATATGGGCTGCACATCTCACATGGTGAGAATCTTCCTGAGGCATGTGCAGAGGGTGTCGGACATGCTATCCCACATCTTTGTGGCCTTGCATTTGATGATTCGATGCAGGTTCCACCCAAGACAGACAGCACAAGCAGAAAGGGCATTTCCACTTGTGCCCACTCAAAAATCCTGCCAGTTCCTCTTTGGCCTCCCTCCCTGTTCAGGTGATGCTGAATGCTTCTGTGACTCCCTAGAGTCTTGTTGATAATCTTGTCAATGATTTGATGAGAAGCTGGTTGGGACCGTGAGGCATTGATCAGCCTGTACTTCAAGACGAAGCAGAAGCATGCGATGGTTATGTGCAAGAGTGAAGAAATTTTTCCACTGTGCATCAAGTGATGTGACAACAAGTGATATGTTGATTACAGGGTGAGGCATGGAGCATGTGGCATGACATGAAGCAGTGTAGCAATGTAGCAAAGTTTTTAAAGAAGAAAAAGGGTATGAGAGAAACATTTAGCAATGGTTCAAAATTTCAGAACAGAAACTTTGCTAACCTTATAATCTCGTTGATTGTCTGTTTTGGTGTGTTCTAGCCAGTATACTCTCTCCCTCGTTGCATCTAACACTTTCTGGTTGATGGTGGACAGATTGTACGGGCCTGCTGCCGATTTTGTGACAATGTGCCAATGCTTGCATTGCTCAGCTTGATAGACTAGCAAAGCTTTCTGAGCTAGCAAGTCCCACATGGAATGATAAGGGTGGATCTGTAGATTCTTCCAGAAAAAGGCCATCATGTGAACTTGGCCTTGTGGCCAGTCGGCCTCTTCAATGGCTGCTATGAACTGTGGGCAGGCTATGCAAAACTCCTCAAAGGAGAGGTTTTCATCATCTACAATGGATGAGGCATTGCACACTGCTGCTGCTGACACCCAGGCTGTGGATCCATCTGGGAGGGTGGACATTACCATGGCATCATCATCAATGGTCTTTTTGGAGTGTGCCTCATCTAGACCATCATTAGTGAAATACCACAGTTCAAGGTACTTGCCTTTATCAAGCTTGCAAATCGCATAGGAGGAGGGAATTATGGAGGGTTCATCTGGAACACCAGTGTCTTCCAGGATTGGCACAAACTTATGTTTGTGCTTCTTCTTCTCCTCTTTTCATGCTGACTCTTCCTCGTTGATGTGTTCCTGTTCTATCCTGTCTTGCTCCTCCTCTTGTATCCGATGCAAGTTCTCACATTGCTCTCTTTCAACCTCTACCTGATCTTCCCAAAGACCTACATCTACTTCATTGGCCACACACCAGATGGTCCTGAGGAGATGGATGGACTACTCCTTGGTTACATTGTTGTTTATCAGTTGTGCTCGTGCATTAGTGTAGGGTGGTGAAGCATAGTCCGGGCAAACATTTAAGTTTGGGTCATTGATAATCCTCGGCATGATATAAATGCTAAAGTTCTAAATAAACTGAAGTGGAATGCAACGAAATAAAGGTGAAGTCGAATAGTAGATAGATTGCGAGTCATACTAGGTGGTAGTACGAAAGAAGAAAAGATGAGTCACGAAAAGCAGTGTCGCCGCGTAGACCTCATTCTACGCACGTTCTCGTTCCTCGAACTTACGTAGAATATAAAGTCTCCAATGTCCATTGCCTTGTAAAAACGTTCGTACTAGAAACAACATTATGCCAGCCCAAAGGCCAATTTATCGCCGGTCTCAGGTATCATTTGTGCACTGCAGTAAATATTTGGCTTTGCAGATACTGGCGTTGATTCACTCGCTTCTCTATTGACCATGGTGACAAGGTGCCAGACTTTGAAACCTCTTACTCCTGAGCCAGCTGCCACTACTCATGCAATCTCGCCATAGATAGCAGGTAGATGGGCGATGAAGATATGTACCGTAATGTACGTGATATCCGACATGCAGAACCATGGCAGATGATCGATATCCCTAGTAGTACCACCCAGATATCATCTTTATATCTGCGAGCCATTATGGCTATCACCGCTTGGGTCCAGAAAGGTGGCTTGTCGTTACATCATGATAAATTGTGAAGCCGTGTCTGCAGCCCCTTGGGCATGTGGATCACCGCCGGTGGCCAGTGGCAGTCATCGCCCAACTGGTTTATTGCAGACTGCGAGTGATTTGCAGCAGGAGGATGTCTAGGCTAGTACTATAAATAGTATCAGTTGTGGCATGCTGGCCAGTTGGATCAGATCGGTAGCTATAGAACCCACTGGAAAGGCTCCAGATACTTTAAAGTTTGAACACAGCATCATAATGCACCTCCAAACCCTCGGATTAGTACGTTTTGCCCGGCCAAAGGCTGTTACGAACTTTCATCTTTGGCAACTCCAGCCAGTACTACACATGCCACATATATATGCAAGTGAACAGCAGCCTTAGTAGGCAACCGGTTATAGGACGGAAGGCTTTACTCTTCGAACTATGATTGCACACGTTCAGCCACAAGACACCATGACCAGCGCAGAAACCAAGTCCATTTACATTCGGGACCTACCTCTCCCTTTGGACACAACGAGCATGTACTTACATCTTCCGACGTTTCACCAGCCAAGAAGTGGGCCCGTGCTAGTTGGCAACGGATCCGGCGTTTACGATGTCATAACATCTTCCGATAGATATCTTGGATTCAGTCCTATGTCCGCCGAAAGAGTCCAAGCGGAGAGATATGACAAAAGGAAGCACATGTAAGTCGGCATTTAAGATAGTATGCCGTGTCCGACCGACTGACCGCTGGTACGCAGCCCAAAAAACACTAAGAATTATACCATCCCGTTTATGACAACGGATCCTATCGAGTAACATATCTTCACATTGTCACTTTAGTATCTTATGCATTGTTTTAGGAGACCAGTTCCTCCTGGATGGCAAATTTACACTCATCCTGAAGGCTGCCTTTATTACTGTTACGAGAGCTCGGTGAATTTTCACGGGTATTCAAGGAAAATTCGCGTTATAACACAGGCGGATCTCGTCCATGACGGAGTTGCTGAGACAATCGAGAACCTTGCAAGGCTCGTCTACAGTCATGCCTGTCAATATTCTTCTTTCCCGGTGAATGTAGACCTCGTGTTGGAACTTATGGACGTCAGAGAAACCGTTACAGCAGGGTATTATTTTGTCCACCACGAGAACAGGTGCCTGTTCTGGTTACAGGACTTTGATGCCACCGTTATCTTGCGGGAATGCTGTGGTGTCACTGAACTTTCTCATAAGCGTTAGTTTTGTGGACTTGTGCTTGACCGTGTCTAATAAACTTGTAGAAATCGAGTTGGAGGCTCAGTACTGGTACGCGTTATAGCAGTTTGTGAGTACATTCAATGTATGCTTCACTACTAGAACGTATTGTACTGATTACATCAGTCGAGGCATGGTGACTGCTCACGCAAGTAGGAAGCATATCGACCTGTTTCCGCACACAAGTGCTCTCCACTGTCAGGTCCTTCGACAATTGCAGCAGATCATCCGTTTTGCGATAAGTGGTAAGCTCTTTACCATCAGGGCACCATACGAGAGCTTAACTGCGCGTTTCAGATTGCATGACTTCGGAGGTGTCGGCGGTCTGCGCTTTCAGCATCGATGTCCTCAAGAATACTCTGGACCTCGTCAAAGATGTGGATGGTAGGTCACACCAACTCCCGAGATCGCAAAACTCATTATATGTCAAGTGGAGAACGATTGGGTTCAATCAGCACATGACAAATGTTTCATCGGTAAGTAGTCGTGTTTCGCACGCAGTAAATCGAAGTTCGTGACATCGTAACCATTAGCGAGGATGATGAACCATTTTAGTACGTGACCTGATTCTAGTTTAAGATGTTTTCCGATCTCCTACACAGGGCACTGTCAATACCTCAACTATCACGGGCAGCAAGGCGCACGCCTCTCCCGAGATCAGACTGTACATGGCGACTCCTACGCGGAACGGTCCATGATGATGAGATGTCTTGCACCCCTACTCTTCAATGCCCCCTATGAGCACGTCCGCTCTCTTCACAAACTCTACGTCGACTCCATAATTAATCTGCTCGACTGGCGCTCCTTTGTTCAGAAGCTGAACGTCGAGATGCAGGACTTCAATCTGCTTGTAGGCTCATCAATTTTGTGATATGTGAATCATGCTGACACGTCAATGGTCAGGCGACGGTGCTCTTGAGTGTCAATGTTGGTTTTCTGGCGATTCAGACCGTAGATAATGGTAGGGGATATTCTTTGTCGCAGGTTGCGAGCTATGTTTCTGTGATCTCAAGTTTTGGGAGCATGCTGCTTGGCGTGAATATTGCGAGACAGAGCTACACGCAAGGTCCAAACATGGTTGATAACGCGGTGCGTCTTCTTACAGTTCGCTTAGTGACCGTCCTCAATAAACGTATCCAATTAGCAAGCACGCCTGCAGAGCTTAGTGCACCCCAAGCATGGCCTCGAGACGCTTGCAATCATATACAGTTTACCGTATGCTTTACTCATGTGGGGGTACGTTCGACCACAGCCTCCTCTGCCAATTTCAGGTTATTCACTACAGCTGTTAGGATGATATTTTTCGTGCTTGCATTCTTTACTGAATGTTTTCGTCACTCGAGTGCGGTCCCCTCGGTCCCTGTGAGTGTGGCGGCGCTTATTGTGCTGGTGCTTGTCGGATGGTCTTGTTACACGTTGGGAGACAGGGTGGAGCGTGGGCACTTGTCTGGAAGCGTGTTTACTGCAGTACAGTGGATCAAGGATCTACCCAGATGGATGGTGCGCTCAGTTTCCGCTCATACGCCTTGGTGCGTTAGTGAAGCCGAATGACAAAGAATCAGCTGGGAGTGTTTTGAGTTATGGTGGGAAATTATAAAAACCCCGCTGGACATTGCCTGGACCGTCGAACTAGTGACACTGTCGGTTTACACTATTCTGAATGCAATGATATCTCGTGAATCTCGAATTCTGTCTTGGGTGTTATGTGTTCACCTAGCTGGGATCTACCTATTTACAAAGGGATTCCTCCTCACCCGACTCGCACTCCCTGACAGAAGTGCAGACACCTGTACTTCTCTCGCTACCCACAAAAAAGCAGTATTGCTCGTCATAGACGCCCTCCGCTTTGATTTCATCGCAGAACACCCGCCAGAACCTGCATCACCTTTCCATCATAACACCCTAACTCTCCCGCGCGAATTGACCGCCGCTCATCCCGACCGATCATTCATATTTAACTCGTATTCTGACCCACCGACCACAACTCTCCAGCGACTCAAAGGCATTACCACAGGGTCTCTACCCACCTTCGCAGATGCCGGAGAAAACTTTGGAGGCTCTGCCATCCATGAGGATTCCATTATGCATCAGCTAAACGCCGCGGGCAGAAAGGTATGTGCTGACTTCTTTTTTTCCCTCCGTTTCCCTGATACAATCCAAAGGAAAGATCGCTTTCGCCGGCGATGACACTTGGCTCGCCCTTTTCCCAGATGCCTTTCAGCCAAACATGACCTTTGCCTTTGACTCTTTCAACGTCGAAGACCTTCACACTGTAGACCAGGGCGTCATCGATAATATTTTACCCTTGATGCGACATCATCGAGACTCGTGGCATTTTGCCATTGGTCATGGTTTAGGTGTTGACCATGCAGGTCACAGAGTCGGTCCAGACCATCCCGTCCTCAAAGAAAAACTCGAGCAGATGAACACTTTTTTGCATGATGTCGTTGCGGCCATGGACGATGATACCCTCCTCATAATGCTCGGGGATCACGGAATGGATAAGCTAGGTAATCATGGCGGTGAAAGCGTCCTAGAGACCATGTCAGCTCTCTGGATTTATAGCAAGGTCCCTCTTTCCCTTCCAAAATACGCAATTCCAGAGGCCATTCTACCGGTGATCACATTCCCAGGCACTCCGGTCCCCCATCGCTATGTCCAGCAGATAGACTTGTTGCCAACTATCTCTTTACTCCTTGGTCTTCCTATCCCATTCAATAACCTCGGAACCGTCATTCCAGAAGTTTTCAATCGGGATTCCGACGGTTCGTCTTTGCAGAAAGCCATGGAACTCAACGCAGCTCAGATCAGGCGCTATCTCGATGCTTATCGATCTAGTTCGTCTGGTAAGGAGCTTGATGCTGCCTGGCATGATTTTTCCCTCGCCTGGGATGGCATAAATGCGACGGAAGGGAATCACCGTCTCATCGCCCTTGATAACTTTACTCGTCTGGCATTATCTGCTTGTCGAATTCTCTGGGCTCAGTTCAATGTTTTCCTGATGGGCGCTGGATTGGCCGTCATTAGTTTGAGCATCGTCGCTGGCTGGGCGTTGTACTCCAAACTCCGAGATATTATGGACGCCGAGTGGGAAAAGTGGGTGGACGACAGAGTTTGGTGGTCGTTCAGCGCCTCTGCTGTAGGATCTGCCCTAGGATACCTGATGCATGTCGTGTTGCACGAGTATCTGGACGGTGTTACTATGCACCAGACCATGATCTTCGCTGCCGCCATTTCATCATCATTCGTCATGATAACTACCACCCGCCCCACGATCACCTTGAAATCCATCAAATCACTCCCCATCTTCCTCATTCTGCACACCCTATGTTTTGCATCAAACTCATTTACAGTATGGGAGGACCGCATCGTGCTCTTCTTCCTCATCTCGTCCATTGTGCCCTCCGTCATCACAGGTTTCACAGCTCCTACCTCCCGGCTGCGCTACCGCATACTAGGCTTTTCCGCTCTCTTCGCTATATGTGTGCGTCTCATGGCTATGAGCACCGTCTGCAGGGAGGAGCAACACCCATACTGCACCGTTACTTTTTACGTATCGGAGTCATCATCAGCCCCACCACTCACAGCACTCCTCCTCGCCTTGCCTGTTGCTATCGCAGTTCCTCGCGTTGTCCGCCGCATACTCGAAATCTCAAAATCAGATTCTGGTCTCGCCGCAACGTTCATCCCGCTGTTGTTCGCACCGTCTTTGATCGCTGGTACGATGGTCTGGATGCTCGAATGGGTAGACTCTGCGCAGGCCCTGGGAGATATGGGCGATATTTTGAGAGTGACGAGGACGATATTGGCGAGGACTACTGTTGCTGTTATGTTGATTGGGGGTTTGTCAGTCTGGTGGACGTCGCCTGTTTGCCTTGCGATTTCAAAAAGCCAAGCGGGTGAGGCATCTACGCAGGAAAAGACTGAAGTTACTGTGTTAGGCTTTGCCAACGCATTCGGCTCTCCTTATCTCATGTTCTGGCTCATCTTCTTTAGTATCGTGTGGTTGATGACTCAACTTGCAGGACAAATCGTCCTTGGGCTCTCATCCATCGCTCTTCTCTCGTATCTAGAGATCATCGACAGCGTCCGGGACGTCCACAGCCTAAATAACGCATTCACATCCCCCAACGCATCCCCCCAACTCACCAATACTAATCCAAACCACGACCTCTCATTCTCAGAAATCGTACCCCTAGCGCTCTTGACGACGCACACGTATTACGGTACAGGCCATCAATCGGCGCTTTCATCTATCCAATGGAAATGCGCATTTATCCTCGGAAAGACGTTTTCCTTCCCTCTTCACACGTTTCCATTGCTATCAACACCTTTGGGTCCTTTTTCCTCGGAGCGCTAGCGCTGCCACTGATTGTACTATGGAACCTCCCTCCCCTACCCCTCTCGCCCTCTCGCCCCCGCCCGAACGCACTAAGAGCGGGACTAGCGATATCGTTGTATTTTGCAGTGTTGGCATTTGGAGCAGCTGCATGCGGAGCGGTGTTGAGGAGGCATTTGATGGTGTGGAAGATCTTTGCGCCTAGGTATTTGGGTGCTGGTTGTGGGCTTTTGGTTGTTGATGTGGGTGTTTTGGTTGGTGTTGGCGTTGGCGTTGGGAGGGTTGGGGCAGAGATTGGGAGGGTTTTTGGGAGAGTGAGAGGTGTTGATGGATCGAATTGAATTGAGTTCCTTGGATCGATCACTCTGGTTGACGTGTATGACTTTTTAATACAGCAAGAACTCGATACTTGGTGGAGATCAGAACGTATGAATGCAGAGGTGGCAAGGATTCGATGCTCAGGGAAGATCCGCACGTATCCGTTGAACGGGTTGCAACATTGGCTGCTAAGAGTACTGCTAGACACTGGACACAATTTTGTGCACCTATTGATGTCAAACTCGCAACAAACTCGTGATAGTCTTTGGTCCTACATATACTAGTGTCCTGCTTCATGTCACAATCATTTTTTGCATAGTCGTTTTGTAAACATTGTTGTTCAAAGACCCAGACATCAATGTTCTTGAGCAAGCAACTACTTCGAGTTCTTCGTCTTGCCGTGAATACTTTTTTTTGGATGGCTAATCACGCATATGCATGTGACACTCTGGCATGTTCAGTTCAAGCAAGGGGCTTCTCGTCTGCTGTCACTCGTGTTCGGTAATGTCTTGTGCATCACACATGTACTTCGCGTAGTACAAGCCGAGGAGAATCGTTTTATATCCATGCACAGCTATATGATATGCGCATTGAGAGAGTGCAGAAGTGGAGAGGAGTTGCTGATGCGCCGTGTGAGGCGGGTGTGCCATCGTGCGTGAGTTCGGATCAAGTTACTAACACACCTCACAATCCACATCACGACAATTCCCTTTGGGCGGGGGATGTAGGAAGATGAAGACAGGAGTTGGGATATATCAGGAAGGATACAATGTGATGTTTCACCACCAACGTTAATATTTGTGGGCTGTAGGTACTGGATATTGGAGGGTGGGCATCGTCCCGAAGTGCAGGACGTGTGAAGAAAATGGGAGGTGGGAGGTGAGCAGGGACAACTTCAAATTCGTGGTACCGCCAGTCCGGGGAGCAAGGCACAAGGAAGGCTCCTGATGAAGGCGGCGGACTTCAACTGATAAATGACCTGGAAATACAAGTGGTGATATTGCTCGGCGAGAAGTCTCACAAGTCTAGACTCTAAACAAGTCAAAGGTCAACAATCTAGCTATATCATACGGAGTTTACTGTAATGACTTCAAGCTGATTCGTTGTAGTCTAGATAAATAATGAGGAATAGATAATGAGTACGTCGCACTTCCTTGGAAAATGGGAGGAACCCACAACTTGATCTATGTTTTTTCTCAACAAATAAATTTTGTCTTTATCGAGCCATATCTCGACGAGCTCTCCATAACTGAACGTTCTGTCTGACGCGATTTCGACATAGGGCAGGGATGTCGTCAAATATTCCCCCGACTCGCAATTTTCTACTGTAGTTGGCTCATTAACCAGCCTTCCTAGGCCTGGCTGGTGGCGCCTCACAGCTGATGGGCTGAAGTCCATCAAATGTAACCTGTACCCTGAAGAAACCAAGTGGCTATCTTTTGTCGCGCTGGCTGCAGGGAATGCATACAAAGCTCGGTTCCCGCTAACGCCAAGTCTGCATGGAAAATAGTGCAGAAAAATACGAGCATTTGAAGGACCCCAACATATCCACGGTATTGTTGCTAACATTCCCTCCGAATCAATAAAGTCATCGAAGAAAATCCTGGTGGAAATAACGAAGACAAGATGTGAAGAATGTGAGACAAGGGAGAGTAATCGATGCTTAGGGTCTGAGATCCACTGGGCTTGCATCTTCGGATGCGAGCTACATGCAATATCGTTCGTCGGAGTGAAGCACCGTAGGTCCAACACTGATGAAGGCAACAAGAAGCATGCCAGCAATTGCGGTGACTTGGACATATCCTCAATTGAATAGAGTTTTAGATCGTCGCTAATAATTAAAAATCTATCGTTTCCGAGGAAACAAAAGTCAGTTGACCCATCGGAATCCACATCTAGTACAATTGGGCCACTGAGGATGCTCTAAATCGAGTCAACTGTCAAGTCTTTCAACTAATTTTGACCAATGCTCACATTGGACGAAGTTGAGTGTTGCCAGTCCCAAATCTGCAACCACCATATGGACGCGAATGAGAAGTCTGTACTATCAAACAATGGTACGAAGCGAAGGAAAGCGATATGCCTCCCAAAACCTTCGAGTTTTGAACACGGTGTTTCAAAGTTCTCACGGCTTCTGGGCAGCCACAAGTCAGACATAAACAATGTCCGTCCAGCAGCTTGGGGGTGGACGCTATCTCCATCCAGGGTTAGAAGCTCGATATAGGACTCCTCATCAGATGGGTAATTATCATCCCTAATGGCATAGGCGATGGCGAGCAGATTTTGCGCTGCGTCCATGAAAATATCGATGTTACTGTGGTTGGGAACCGAACAAAGCGAACCCGGAGAGAGATCACGCTCGATGGTTTGCTGTGATGGTTTGGGTAGTATTGGAAAGATTTTGACAGAATCTATAGATGGTTTCCAGAAACATGCATGCCCATTGGTGATGTACGTTGCTGTGACCGTCTGAAAATTTTCTGGTATAGGGATTGTTTCCAAAGAACAGAGATCAAATTTGGACCATGCGAGGTTATTTTCCCTTAGGAGTTGTAGGCGCTTTGAAACAGAGATGTGACTGTTGGAAACAGGAAGCAATTGTTGGCTACCGAGTTCAGTGACGTACTGAAGCTCGGAGGATGACATGTATGTTTCGCGAAGGGCCTTGCATAGCTGCCAGACAATTGTCAGTATCAGAGTCCATTTAAGACACTAGATGGACAGCGATTAGAACTTAAACAGTAGCTCACGGATGTACAACGAAGAATGTCTCGCCAAGGAAGGAAGCTCAGAATGTAAGTCAAGAGTTCTTTAGGAAGAGACAGTAACTTTATTTTGCACTCCATTTTCAGCTTGATCCACCGTCTGATAAGTCGAGACTCAGCGTCAGCAAATATTATCGGCAGTTGTGAGACGAAGAACTAACCAGAGTTTAGGCCGTCAATAGCGAACTCGATTACGATTAGTAGCCTGAAAAACATGTCCGTCACGTCGAGACCGCTCCACTTAAATAGTTGTATAACTAAGGAAAGAACAAAGATATCGGCTCAATGGAGTTCAATGGTGACTGCCTCACAAAGCAGCAATAAGTATTGACAAATGCAATGATGTTGCTGGTCACCATGTGACTGATCAAAGGTGTGTGATTATAAAAGGTAGTGTAGTTAGCTAATCAACGTCAACTTCGTTCATCCGAGTCGTCGTGCTAGTAATTAGGCTAGCACTTGACTGGCCGAGTGAATCAGTAATGGTCAATCCGCTTGAAGTACCGCCGTACCTCCTCCAACCGCTCATCCCTAGCATCACCGCAGGGACTGTTACTTGTGCGCAGGCCTTAGGTGCGTGATTGACGAATATAGACGACCATTTTCTTGCGTTGCCTCCTTGGTCTCTCTCAATCATTCAAGAATCGGCGCTAACACCAAGTGCAGGGTCCGAAATATACGTTGGCTGCTCGAATGGCGAGCTCCTGCGCTATGCTCTCCATCCAGATGCGGATCCCACCAAGGTCGGTACTAACGCGTGCAACATCCTTCTCATTCATTACCCTACAAATTCTATCATTTTCACTCTCAGTTCACTTTCAGTTTACCCAATTCAAGTCTGCAACATCACGCTAACCTAGCCCAGCTAGATGCTTATGCTCTGCTTTCGCAACAGAGCCACCCTTCAGGCAAGCAGATCGACGAGCTCATCCTCGTACCTTGCATCGCGAGGGCGCTGATATTATGTGGTGCGTTATCCTCATATTTGTGAGTGCTTGGTTTAGGGCGTGCAGTTTATTGTATTGTGAAAATTTGAGATGCTGTTTGCACTACGCCATACTTTCTCCTGGCATCTGCATATCCAATCGCTAAGCACACACTAATACACTTCTGCAGACCGCCAAGTCCATATATATACCCTCCCTTCGCTTGATCTTGTCCCGAACCCTAAACCCGTCCGCAATATCGAGGCTCTCGCAGTCGACCATAATCACCTTCAACGTCCCGCCGCGACCTCACTTACCACTAGAAGCACTTCCACATCAATAAATTTTCCTGCTGAGCGAGGAAAAAATGATGCCATTGACCTCTGCGTTATAAAGCGCAGTACTATTGCCATGTATAGCTTGAGCGAGGAGAAGTTGACGTTTACCAGGGTTCGTTACTTTCAGCGTTCCTTCACACATACCCATCTTTTTTTCACTCAGCTAATGTCCGTTGATTTGTCCTTAGGAAATCCCTTTCCGACCTGGAGCCCTCCGTGCTCAGCGTTCAGGGCGCCACCTGTGTGTTGCGACCGCAGACATTTACAGTGTAATCGATCTTGCAACCGCACAGATGTTTGAGTTACTTCCGGTGACACAAGTTGAGGGCACGGCGGGGTAAGTGGATTAAGATATTATCTGTCGTCTCCTTACTGACTCTCACCGACCCGGCTAAAAGTACGATCAAACCACATATCATCGTCATATCTCCATCTGAGTTCCTTTTACTGAGCTGGACGGGCGGGAGCACACTTGGCCTGTTCATTACAGGCGAGGGTGATCCCGTGCGTGGAACACTTGAGTGGCCAGCGCATCCGGTGTCCGTGTGTAAGTGATATATCTTATGTGGACCTTTTTCGTGTTGCTGGCTCGAATTCGCTTATTCTCTACCACACTCAACTTTCTCAGCGTCACATAAGTTACTTTCATTTCATTTATCAGTTTGTGATTTATCTCCGAAGTTCTGAGACTAATTACCACGGATGAATCTGCCTAGGCCTCGACTTTCCCTACCTAACAACACTTCTTCCAAATGGCACAATCGAAGTGCACAGTGTTGAAACTCAGACGATTATCCAAGTCATCCCTGCGCCCAATTTTGGCGAAGGGGGGAGGCCAGGCTTGGTCTCGTGTCTTGCTGGTTATGCAGCGCCCTCCTCCGAGCGTGGGGACAAGATGAAGAAGGTGAAAGTTGGGTTGGTGCGCAGTGGGAAAGTGGGGCTGGAGATGGTCGACAAGAAGGTCCATGGAGACCAGAACGAGAAAACGGAGGAAGTGGAGAAAGAGAAAGATGCAGATGTCCCGAGTGTGTCTATATGACCGACCTAATTGGTACACGGGCTGTCGTTCTGTTTCTCACTCTTCAGACTGGAGCTTAGTTGCCCTATCGCGTGTGAGATCATCGTAGGTAGAACAAGACACTCAAGTACAGTGCATGTTCTGCAAAATGCAGATAGAGCAAGGCACGACTGAACTGATTATCATGGTTAGTATCTCGATTGACAATTTCTTCCTGAGAGTAGTGGCTACAAGACCGAACGTCGGCGCGTGCTCCTGGAGTCATGTAGTCCTTTTTCGTCGGACCTGTATCAAGATGATAACCACTGCAAACATTCTGGTGTTTTTAACGGTGATGGATGCGGAAAAAAGCTGATGCCACCCAATAAATCTATGCTCTCTAAATTGAAGTAATCGTTCAACCACTCACTAGTGCATCATTATCGCGCAAAGCCCATCTGCGCTGCGGGCCCATAATACACGAGACGTAACGGGATTCTCTACGAATCATCCCCGGATCATCGGAGGTGTACAGACAGCAGCTGTAAATAGAGCGTTTAGAGCAGAGTCGCAGATGAACAGAGCAGTCGTATAATCGTATACATAAATATATGCGTTGGAGCAGTTACCCTCAGCACATGGGCATCCACAGTCGTGTGCAGATAAATGACAGTGTGATTATACTTACTGAAATAGTGGTAGTCCACGTACTGGCCAGCAGCTCAGTCTCTTCAGCTTGCACTAGGTAGTTTCGACCTTTACAGCAGCAGGTTTAACTTTTCTCAGCCATTCGTTTTTTGTCCGCCTTGTTGCGCATTTCTGTGTTTGATGATCTCTGCTACTGCACGGTTTGCATAGTTGATGACCGTCCTGAGAAAACTAGATGTAGAGACTTCACATGCGTGCAGGCGCAGGTCGACAGAAGGACTGGGCTCTGCAAGTATCAAATCAAGATCAATACGAGTATGCAGAACATGGGGCATAGCATAAATCAGAGTACTATTGGTAGCACTGAGCACAGCAGAATGATCATGAACATGAACATGAATCTAGAGAACGCGTGGTCATGTGATCGTATATGACATTAATTCACGTGATCCCACCACATCCTCTGTTTATGTATATTTGCAGTGCTACGCGACGCGTTCCTGAAATGACATTGCACCTTCCTTCGCCAGCCTAACTGCTAACATCGCGCAACCGAAGGCTATCGTCACACCTGCTATTCTCCGCCATCCCTGCAAGTCTATTGTAATTATCATATCCTAATTGCTGGTAATGCCTCATTTCACCGGCGTGCCCCGGACTTTCTAGCGGACGCAAGACACGAACCATACTCTGATATCTCTTTATCTGTGGAAGAGCCAGATGTTTTGATCTCTCCACCACGCTCTCCTAGTAGACTTGATTTCTTTCATGAAGAAGGCGGCGCTCTTGGTTACTCTGAATCAGATGCAGACGCAGAACTACCGATTTCAAGGGTCAAGTGGGCACGCGGCTTCTTCCGTAGCGGCCCGGCACTCGCGAAGTTCACGGAAGAAGAGGAGGAAGAGGAGGAGCCTCTCATCGGTATACCGATTCTCCAAATGAATGACCATAACATCAATTCCCAGACAGACTTCGAAGACGAGCCCCCATGCGTCCCATTCCCACCTCCACTTCAGACAGTCACTACGGAGCCTTTTGCACCAGAACCTGTTCGCCATGCTACGCTTCCACATGAAACAAAGGTGCAAATCCCAACTCCTGTGTCACGTGTCCACACGCAGCGTCTGAACTACCCTCACCGCGGATTTTCACGGAGTGCCTTGTTGCATCAAAAGTCTTTCTGGACAGCGCGCCATGATGAATGGTTGGAATGGCAGGCCAAAGAGGTGAAACGACGAATAGACCACAGTATATGCGCACAAGGCCCTGGAAGTACGTATGCTGGCATTACGCTCGCAGATACTCAGGAAATCTCTGGGCTACCATCACAAATCTGCGTGCCTCTATCTGGCTTGGAGCGTGACTTTGAGGGTGTGCATCGAGAGACTTTGCCCAGGACTTGAACGCGCCGATCTACCCTCGTGTGGGCGATATCTCTGCGCTTCGTGATCCATACTCTGCCAATGTCGACCGGTGCTTCTTCAGGTTTCCGCTGTGGACCATTCACAAGACGCTCTATGTATTCGACATGCATCAAAGGGCAGTCCATATTTCCGACCAGATACAAGGTTCTGCATCCTCAGGAAGCCTGCAATCGTCGGCCGGTTCAACGACATGCGATGATGAGGATGTGACCCTTGTTGCTGACTATGAACCACCCTTCGAGAAACAAACGCTTGACAACGGGTCTCGTCAAGAATGTCTACCACCTGAAACTCCAAAAAGATCTCTGCCGTGTACATGGGAGGCTATTCGCGCCTGGGAGCTGAACTGGTACGCTCGCTGGGAGCTACTCATTGGTCTCGTACAGCGCGACGAAGCCCTCCGCCAGGCAGCGCCGCTTTCGCCGTCGATAACTCCCCCCCGGCTCGTAGATGAAGACCTTTCACTGCCAAAAGGACTCCTGGAACCGTTCACCCCGAAAGCTCCCACACCGATAATCCACTTTCCTGGCGAAGATGGAGAGGGGGATAATGGAGACGAAGAAGACGATTATGGTACCTTGGTTGCAAACCCGATTTACAACGTTGACGAGATGTTCAAGGAGGGGTATCACCGTGCAGTAAATTTTTTCACCAAAGATCGAGGGCTGAAAAGAGAACGTCGCCTGCGAACAGTGTCTGGGTAGAAAATTGAGGATGGTCGTCTGCGTCGAAGTCAACGAGGATGGGAATATTTTCACCTTATATATAGCTCCCTAGTTTTGTCGATCCATGCTATATCCCGATATGCCCTGATCGTAACCGTTGGCCCCGACGCCAGCGCCCGACTCACTTATTCCTGGCATATTTTGAATTAAACGCAAACTAGTCTTTTAATTTCATTTTGCGTTGGCAAATATTCTACCGTCAATACATGGTGTTCTTCAACTGGCACTACTCAGTAACATGCAAGCTCTGTGATACAGCAAGTTCGGAAGTACAGCGGCATTAGATATCAACACCGCGACTCCGACTGAATCTACTGTTCTTAGTCTTAGAAAGCGCCTTCAATTTAGCTACATAGACTCACGCATTGTCAGTGTGTTGTCGTCCGCAAGTTTCCTGTAAGTCTGATGGATGTTTGTTATTCCTCATAACTCACCAGAGAAGTCCTTTAGGTTTCTTAGCGCATTGACCAGGTTGTCCGATTAGGAAAGGTTCGTCTATGTTCATTCTTCAACAAGAATTCAATATTCAACAACAATCTCTCTATTGCGATATAGACAGTCAACAAAAACTCACCAACTTGAAGCTCGACAATTCTCCCGGATGAGGCGATACGACAAGTAAGCTACCATATAGTACTAGTGTTGTCATTGACCATAACGATGGTGCACAGTCCCCCGCCTTATTATCGTATGAGGTGAGTGAGGCTTGATAGTTGCTTGATGCTTGATGAATGATGGGAAGCCTTGTAGCCCATCAGAGGCAGAGCCTCTGATGTCTAGCAAGCCTCCCCATTTCCATCAATCCCTCAAGAGTTGCATCCGGACAGCGTTAATTGCTATCATAACTGCTTCAATTGCGATCATGATCTTTGCATCAGTGTCTAACACTTGTAGTGGTCCCTTCAATCCGGAAGAAGACAAACGCTTGAGACTGAATATGTTTTGGACCGACTTGGCTTCCCACACGTGCACGACATACGCCACTCGAGAGTACACCGCCCGATTGGTGAACATTCCATCATGCTATAACCGCCGTGTAGAGGCTTGCATGGCTACACCGGTAAAGATCCACGGCGCTGAATACACGCCTAAGTGGTGTGAGGATCATGTGGGTGTTCCTGCATTTCTTGGTAGTACGAGCAGCTGATATTCCGCGTCCAGGGTCCAAACAATGTAACAGGTCATTGGGAAGTCGGCCAGCATGAGCCGGATTGCGCGCCGTACTGGAGCTGGTACAAAGATTTTGTTTGTTGATCCTTCTCGTCAGTATATTTGCAACTTATAGGTGGTCGCAGGGCTGTGTTTCACCTGGATCCGGTCAGCGAGTGAGTTTCTTAGACACGTTATGGTGAGCGAAGTTGACGGTATGCAGCGTATTGAACATTATCTCGAGAACCTCCCGTCTGGAGGTGATTGGAAGGAGTTTTGTGCTACCACTCCTGTCAGTTTCCGTGGGATGCATTTCACGGGGGCAGAATTCTACTTCCAAAAGGTTCGCTGCTCAGTTACATTGATTGCGGCACGATTTGTTGATTCCTTTCAGAACTATGGGACATACGGCCACTGGGTTTTTGATGATGAAAGCTGCAAGTAGCCAAGTCACGATCATAACCACTCGATGTCGGACAAGGAAAAGAATGTATTAATACTGGACACAGATGTAAATTTATGGTTTCGAGTATATACTCAAGGGATGGCAGATCATGTAGAATTTCTGGCCGGCGTGCACCAGTGCAGACTGATATCTCGTGCCATATAGTGAGGTCGATATTGATCGGAAGGTCAATTATTAACAGGCTAAAAGTGCGTCTGATGTTCCTTCAAGTTGGTGTTATCAACCCGTTAATAACTGATGTATCTGTATTTCTCACCAAGCCCTACCATATACTGTTCCCTAGTTTCGTCAACCCACGCTATATCCCGATACCCTGATCGTAAGAGTGCCAGCGCCAGCCGGGCCCCGACTCACTTATTCCTGGCATGTTTTGAATCAAACACACTAGTCTTTTTAATTTCATTTTGCGTCCGCAAATGTTCTACTGTCAATGCATGATGATGTTCGACTCGTACTACGAACATCCATCTTGACCAGTCTTAGCCAAGTGGTAAGCGTGACAGGATAGAAATCAATGGCAGGTTCGAAACCTGCGCGACAATATTTTTTCTTTTACCACGCCTCGAATGGCATGGATGCTTCATGGACTATCTTAAGTATGTAGTCATAGCCAACTGGCACCAGAACAGAACAGATTAGAAATCTGCTCTCGCGAGTGGTGCAGGTTCGAAACCTACCGCCAGATGTCTTATCATAACCTGGACACTTGATCACTCATGGATAGTTCTTCAGAGGTTCATCTCAACTTGGGAAGCATCCTGGCTAAAGTGATTACTATGACAGAATCGAAATCTGTTTGTCTTGCACTGTGCAGGTTGGAAACCTGCCGACGACAAGGTTCTTATTTTTGTATTGGAACAAACTCTGACCTTCACTCATGAACAGTTCCTCGGAGGTCCATCTCAACTTCGTCCTGGCCGAAGTGGCTTCCACCACAGAATCGAAATCTGTTTCTCTTGGACTGCGCAGATTCGAAACCTGCCGACGACAAGGTTCTTTTGTCGTATTGGAACACACTCTGACTTCACTCATGGACAGTTCCTCGGAGCTCATCTCAACTTCGCCCTGGCCAAAGCGGCTTCCACAACAGAACTGAAATCTGTTTCTCTTGGACTGCGCAGATTCGAAAGCTGCAGACGACAAGGTTCTTTTTTGTATTGGAACACACTCTGACATTCACTCATGGACAGTTCCTCGGAGGCTCATCTCAACTTCGCCCTGGCCAAAGTGGCTTCCACAACAGAATCGAAATCTGTTTCTCTTGGACTGCGCAGATTCGAAACCTGCCGACAACAAGGTTTTTATTCTCTTGGAACACACCTTGACATTCGTTCTTGGATGGTTTCATCAGGGGTTCGTCTAACTAGTGTTAGCCAAGTGGTTACCAGAGTCGAAATCTGTTTCTCTTGGAGTCGGTTCGAAACCTGCTGACAACATTTTTGCGGTGTATAGATCCTCGGAGGTCCATCTTAACTAGCCCCAGTCATTGCGCCAAAACTTCATTTTTATGTCCATGAAAAAGAATCTACCTTCACGCCTCGTGAGGGTCATCTCATAAATATAAGCGTACGTGCCGACCCAGATTTTCGACAGGCTAACCAAAACTGCCGAGATCCACCGCCAAACAAAAATAGGGCCGGAGGCCAGAGGAATGCACGAAACCTAATGACAGTGAGTCTGACAATCAGGAATATGATGCAACTCCCTCCCACCTTTAGCTTTCAGGTCATCCTTGGTCCCGTTGGAAGAGCTAACGACCAAAGGAGTGTCCATCGACGAGGCTGGAAGAATTGAAAGTGGCAGACCGAGCCACATCGTTCTGATGTGTGTAGCTTGCGTGCGCTCCTGTTTTATGTCGATGCCGGGGCGGAACGAACGGTTATTTGCTTTCGATTTCTGCGGCAAGACCAGGCACCGGACAGAGAGGTCAACGTGAAACTCTAGATGGTTTACAGTATTAGAGGAGATTCAGATTTGAGGCCACTAATACGTTCGAAAGATTTCATCTGGGTACCGGTGGAATACGATACTAATATGTTACCAGTACTACTGAAGGGTGATCATCTGATAAGGCTAGGTAGACCCTGACTACTGATAACTCGGGCCTACTATGATAGTCTCTTCTAATTAAACACTAGTCGTGTAGGTGGCATTGGGAAACCTATAGGATTATCGTCAGAGTGAAAGACGATACACGAATGTGTACATATAAGCTGGTTGATACTAAGGTAAAGAAGGAGATGTAGTCCCTGTGTCTTCATCTACATAAAAATTGATGAGAGGTGTACGTGATTGTCATTGATCTTGGCGTATCCTTTAATTGACTGATCGCGAGCGATGAAGTTGGTCGACTCGGATGGGTATATGCCTTACTAGAACCGGTTACTTCCTCCATCCCTGTCCCTCCCCCTCTGATTCAGAACTGTTTGGATGTGAGCGCGAGGAGAATTGAGAGCGTCTGCGAGGGTTCCCGGACCAGGACGGGCTATGGTTCATGTGCCATTCATGTGATTTGCGCTGCCTGCGGCTCTGCACGATTTCTGGTGCCGTAGCTCGCAAGGCGTTCAATTCCTCGCGCGATAACTTTGACAGAGGCGATGACGCTAATAGTAGCAAGTCTGAAGGTGTGTAGATATGAACTGCATGACGTGGTAAACATTGAGTATTTGCAACTCAAGGGGTGGGGATTTTATACTCACGATTATCATGCATAGGCAAGGGTGATAATGAGTTCGCTGGTGAAGCACCCCCTGATGAACTTGAACTCGGTGAAGGTGCCCGTCGGTGTACGGGTATGTAGAGTCCGGAAGATGATGACATCACTGACACGGCGAGGGAAGCAGGTTGCTAGAGAAGACTTGGTAGATGAGGACACGGGAGAGATGTTGACCATGTCCTGGCTCGAACAAGGTCTTATATATACATACAGGAGCATCCTGCGGACCTGCGCATGCATGGGCCCCTCGGCAGTTGGTTATTGTGTGACGATACCGTGATCGTGGCATGAAGTGGCAGTGGTGACTCATCAACTTGGACCGCCGCGTCAGCTATTTGTGATCAACCGTCTGGAAGGTCGTGGAAGGTCGTACAAAGTGGCGAGAAAATACGCTCGAATTACCTCGAATGGTCTCAGTCATCCGAGCCCTGTATGATACAATATTGATCATCGTCGTTCAGTGATACACACGTGCGATTTATAATTGCCACCAACTCCGAGTTCAATAGCCCAACTTCCCGTATTTGTAAATCACTAAGAACTCTGTTAGAACCATAAAAGCATCACAGGATGCCACCACTTCAGTACTTCAGTGGTGCACTGGGCAGCTTTGGGGCGGCTTGGCATGTGGAGATTAAGACGATCTTCAGTGCTGCGGCATGAAGACGCCTGCCACTTTTAGTACTAGCGCTGGCGTGGGAGTGCCAGAGAATGAAAGTTGACATTCTTCATTATACTGATTACCCTCTATATAAGTGTTCCTGTGTTCGATAGTTACCTGATCAGAAAAACCCAGAATGTCGCAGTCACGGTGGAGAGCTTTTTGTCAATTTAAATGTATCAAAGGTTCAATACACCTTGCTTTTGTACTTCGAGTGATGGAACAGACTCCGCCGCAGTATATATTTGTGACTAAAGGTCTTCGTATGTCCTAAATTCCGACATTCTCCGCCGCATCTATATTTCTCAGAACTCCGAGTCATTGCAATCACCAGTCAATTTTCTTTTGAAGGCTATCCACACATCCGTAGCCTGATATAATTCGCTAGCTTGATAGCGACACCAAAGTCTGACGCAAATCTCCCAATAACATCGGAAGATTGGTCGATCATGAGTTAGCTTATCTCGCGATCAAGGAATTTCACCCCAACAATCCCCGGATTCTTTTGGAATAGTCGTCCAATCATTCAACCAGGATGACATCGGCTTGACCTTTGTCAAGGATCTCCTGGACGGTCTTGTCATTGGTGATTGAGCCGACAGCCTCAACAATAAGGTTGTCCCCAACAGTTTGTTTGGCTGCCTGTGCGAACGGTGCCTGGAAAGTCGAGCTGACTTTGATAATGGTTTTCGGGCGATCAGCGCTGCTGGAGACGTTGGAAAGTCAACTTCATGCTCGACAAGAATGCTTGCAAGTTCGACGGTATCTTCAACACGCCACGATGATTCATTTGGAAGCGCTTCTTCGAGCCATTCAGTTGCAGAAACCCTACGAAGTATCAATCAGATCAAGCAAGAACATCTTATGGACTCGAAGATACCTCAAAAAGAGTGGCATGTCTTCAGGCATGGCATCACGGATAGCATCCATGACCTCGAGAGTTAAACGAATGCGGTTCTCAAGGATTCCGCCGTATTCGTCTGTGCGCGTGTTGCTGATAGGACTGACGAAAGAGAACAGCAGATAACCGTGTGCGTTGTGAAGTTCAATGATGTCAATGCCAGTAGCTTCCACAAATCCGATGACGACCACCTTGATCGGGTCTTCGATAGCTCCTTAGGCACTGGGAAGGCGTCATTGAGAGGGGCTCCCATACATTGTCTGGCCATCAACCTGTGCACTCGGTTGCTACAAGACCAACATGTGACCACGACAAAACAGTGGATGCTTTCCAGTCGGCGTGGGCAAACTCGACTATCTTGCGGAGGGGCTCGATTTGACTGTCTTTTCAGAGTCCTGCATCTTCAGGAGAGATGCGACTCTCTGGAGGACCGTGGTGGCTTCAATCATAGAGGCACTAGTCCCCGCATAAAGATCCCGTCACTGAATACCATGAGCATTTCCCTAATGCTCAATATTCATAGACTTACGGTATGCCATATGCCAGGACGTGAGATGACCGTCGTCCGCGGAATATTGAACAGTGGAGATTGCTGCGTGAGATAGGATGGGACGTCAGGGGAGCCCATCGTCGCATTAACAATCAATATGACGACTCACGAAGATGCGGTTGTAGAATGTCGCCCCCTCTGATCTTGATGGGCTAGAGCAATTTTGGTACGTTTTGAGCTGGGGGTCAAATGCTTGCGCAGGGGTAAAAGTATGAAATGGCAGGTACATGCTTGTGTGCCGGAGGCTGCATGTCAAGGACTAAGTAAATAATTAAGTGTGCGGAACGCCTCCCATATCCTCCAGGCCAGCGGTGTGTTTTAGGTCGACCCCACTGAATTGATTCTTAATGAGATGCAACAGCAAAAAGCTTGCTGGCGATAACGAAGAGTTTCAATAAAAACAAATATAATGACGTGATGGCTACAAATACAGAAGGTAAACTGTTTTCGCCACGTAAAGTGGGAGACCAGACTAGGAACGAACATTGCATACACACACACCGTTCTCATCCTTTCGACTGCGTTCCTTCTAACCAGTTCAGATGCAAGCATAAACCCTGAACATCGCGAAGATAATACTCCACAAAGGAGCTCAAGAAACAAAAAATTGATAAGAACCAGCCCAAGAATAGTCTGAATCGAGTTTCGCGATCCATGAAGGATACGCGAGCCACGAAGTGAACTCAAGGACAAACCAGTGCCATAGTGTATATCCCTCATACGCAAGGAGAGCTACAACATGGTAGTGTCGAATTGTCTCCAGCCGTAAGCAGTCATTCATGAAGCTCAGCGGATACGCTGACAACGAGCGGAGACGCTCGTCAGTAGGATAGGCACCGTGGGAGGATACCTCGACTGCAGTCTGCATGTGCACCAGGACCCAGGAGTAGATCCTGAGGGTGACAAAAGAACATCATCTAGTGATTTAGATGGGAAGCATATACCGCGACAAAAGCCCGAGGACCTGAGTATCACGATTGATATCTCTATGCCCCTGAGCGCCATCGACAGGCGCATGCGCGATAGGACTGCTACACGATGGACACAAGTTTGCCCAATCCCCGCAACGCTTTCAAAGCTTTCATTCTTGCCCTCCTCTGCTGGAACAGGATCTTGGGATATGAAAATGAAGCTGCTTTTCTGGTACGTCGCGCAGCTGATTACAGCTAGACTCCGCTAGAGCCAATTGAGGGGGATTGAAATACTCAGACCTTAGCCCGCTCAGAAATGCGGATGCATGAAGCAACCTGTATGTGATGAGCATTCGTGGCCTTCGAGCTGGTTGAAGAAAAGAATAGTTTTGAGGTCCGCCTGGCTTATAACGTTGTAATTATTACATTCAAACTCAGCGCTTAACGCAGCTGAGCCTAGTCCACTAAGCGCTCTCAGTACGACAGTACTTCAAGTTTGCATCCAAGAGTTAAAAATTAAAACGCAGTAGGTACTGGTACGGGTTACTCATTGCAGAATGGAGGGAACCTTTGGAGACATTTACCACAGCTGGTGGGAGGCAACGCATGCTGATGCATGCTGGAATACTCTGATTGTCCGAATAACCCTCTTCCTGGAGTACGTGCATTGCTGCACTTGGGAGATCGCGGTTGCTGTTTACCTATGATACCTCCACTTCCACTCCAGAGTCCATGGACACAGAAGCGTTGAAACCAATGGTAGCCATCTTTGTGCGCAGTCATGAGGGACCATCCAACATTGTGGTAGCATGCCAACGCCTGCTAACACCGTAACTCCGAGTCATACGCAGCAACTCCCATTGGATATACTGTTCACCTTCCATTATTGCACTATTCACAGCATCAGACATTATTCACATCTAGATCAATTGTCAAGCATGCAGCTACATCCGGATTTTCAAAATCAACAAGGGCGCGTCACCTGGCTGTGCAAATTGATGCAACGCTGACGGATATCCGTATCAGTCTGTATGATACGGTGCGTTTTGCATTGCTTTTGTCAATTAAAACAGCTGGTGACCAACGCTATTCCTTCGCATGCTTGTGACGTGTAGCCTACACAATTATCGATGAAGGGCACGCAGAGGTGGGTGATACGAGAACTTGGCATTAAGTAAGGGGTGCATTGATCATGCTTCAGGCTATCTCGGTGAGATCATGATAATGGTTATATCTAGCACGAATAGTATCATTCATCATACTTGCGTCCAATTCGCCACTCACTGATACCAAATCCAATTCCTCCGATATAACTCTAGTCTCAAATAATCCCAGTTGGTGGCCGATAATCAAATTGGTACCATGATTACAGCTATTTCTTTGGGTTATGGAGAGTGGATGTTCACCTGCTTCTATCTATTTCTGACTGTGGTTTCACAGTTGTATCCTCTACTGTGTTGACATACGATTGGGATGAGCAAGGTAGTACTTACGGAGGGGATTATCGATGTCAGTATGGTATTCTCCAGCACCGTCATTCGGACAAGAGGTAGAGGGGTTTAAACCGTCACCAGAGCAGGCTCTCACTATGAATGGTTTTACAGTTGGACCTGGTCTGGGTGAGGTAAGCAGAGCCCCGTATCAGAAGTACAACAGGAAGGATAACAGATTTGTTTCAGGGCAGAGGTAATGCTGGACCTTATGGCTGTTTTGTATATCAGCATAAGTGGTCTATATTCATGGGCGCAGTTGACAGGTTTAACATGGGTGCGCTATGTTGGAATCCTATCCTCTGTGTATGTTTTCAGGGCTAAGATGTCGGCACTGATAATAACTCATTTCTCACGATTAGCATCAGCAGTCCCCCCGCATACACCTTGTTTACTCCTAACTGGCGGTAAGCAGTAAGTTTCCCGGGAGCCTCGCTGACAGACTTTGTGGTCATTCTGTACCATTGCCCGGCATTTCGTCCAACTAATTACGCCATTCCAGAGGCGTGAGTGAGGTTGTTGACGAGCTTGTTAGTTTAATACAACGACTGAAACAGCTGTGAGTTTCCTTGAAGAACTTACTTATATGAGGCTCATCAATTACTGTGTCTCAGGCAATATGCACAATTATGAATGCCTTTCTTCGCGTTTGGCATGCTGGGGTGGTGAGTCACTCAGTCACAGTACCCTAATGATACTGATTTTGACTGATATGTCATAGTTATCATGATTACTCGGGCCCTCGGCTGTGTGCCATGTATCAGCAATCAAAATTCTCATCTTCCTTGCTGTAACCTTATTGGCTATCATTACTGCCTGTGTAGTTCTTGTCGTAATGATAAACAATCATGTTTCAGTCGGTAAGCTTCAATTCTGCTGAATGACTTGAGTGTATCAGACTCACGGGACGAATGTCAGAAGAAGCTGTCCTCTCTGGCATCCATCAATGCGTTTACACTTTTGAGGGAGACTTACGACTACTGATAGTCGACTTTTGGGTACTCACCACTATATGGGAGGTCCTCACCTTGCGTTTGGTCGTTCAGATTGTAATCAGACACTTCCGAGAACTGCAGCAACCATCAACAGGATGAACAGAAGACAGTCTCACGGTGTTAATAAAATGTCACAAGTTTTGCTTTGCAGTGTAAGTTCGTAATATGAACGTGATTATCTTTTATGCTGGTCTTCTATACGTCCTAGTTGTGTTGTTCTTTTTTGCTTGCACCTCGGCCATCTCTCCAAATCTGTCGGTACGCCGATCTGTGACTGAGTCATCTACATCTGGCGATGCATTATTTCTATGGGGCTCATTCCTCGGGATCAGATATTTACCAGGGCATTCTTGAAGTCTCGCTCGCACAAATATTTGTGCTGAGACCATGCCTCATTCTTAGCGTTCGACCATACTACGCTAAGCGCGTGGCTAACTCCGACACAGCAACTGCTATGACTACAATCATATTCCGGGAGCGAATACGTATTTCAACTGACAGTGGCGTGTAGCTTAGGAGAAGCTGGAATACCGTTTGATGTTGCGACGTGGATTTGAAAGAGCAAAATCAGGCAGTTGCTTAACGCATTGCGTACTGCGAGTGCTTGATGTTTTTTTTGCTATCTACTAGCTGATGCGTCCTTAGAGGAACGGAGAAGCAGGGTCTACGGTTAGATTGTGTGAAAACATGGTCGGTGATGAGTCCGCGACCATTCAGAAGCAGTCCTCGAGGACAAATGAGGTTCAAACTATACATCACGAGCATCGTGCCTTTATCCACCAGCGTGCGGTACGGAAGTCCGCTCGAAGTTCGGGACAGATCTAGGCGCAAAAGTATGTTGGCCTTATACGACATAAGTGCATCTAGGTGCCAACAAAGGTGAAACATACTAAAAATATCGGGTTACTCGGGGTTGAAGGCACAAACACTGAACTATCATAACACGCTGGATCAAGTATTACGGCTAACCAAGGCTAACAAGATCGGGCGTCTGGATCAACTGTTTTCGCTAGTGCGGGGAACAACTCACCTGACGGCTTGTAATTATCTATGAAATTGAAAATTCAGATGTGCCGAGAACAAGGAAGTCAGCCAGCATCCCCATATAAGCGCAGCGCCTCTTTGATCACGACACAGTAAGAGCGTGGACATCGGCGGAGACTGGATCGATTCCCTATTTCGAATGAAGGAACTGCGCTTGCTACGTTCAAAGAGGACTTGGTGCTTGTGAATATTCTGAGTGACTGCGAACGGCTACTAATTTGGCTAACAGTTCGGGGGCTAGGTCGCCGTTGCAACAAAAATCAACCCCTCTAAGCTGGCACTCAGTCGTCAAAGAGCCGAGCATGTTGAAGGCCAATGGATGTCGTCCTGTAGCCTGTATTGTGGTCCCTAGAAGGGGAAATTAAGACCACATAAAGTCTATGATAGAAGTTCAAATGCCGAACTTAGATCATGATAAGTAGAAGCATTCACAAGTCTTGCACAGTGGGTCCGATTGCAAACTATCGCACGTACAGGGTTGGCTAGTAATCACGAGTCGGGAACATTGAATGCCAAGTCTCCCTTTGTCTGGACAAAAACCCTATTCTGGGCCAATTATGACATGCGGAAAATCACGATGAAGGCAGGACGAAGACCAACAGGACATTATGCGTAGGAAATCAACGCGCACGTTATTGTTATCGTGCGGCGCAAGACAAAGTTTGAATAAGCGATGGGAGCATCAAGTCGCAGGGTACCAAAGAGGATAATTCTTGATTCGCCGAGGTAGGTCGGGACAATAAATTATTACCCGCACCTTGTTCTGTGCAAGTAACGTTCTTGCTGCTATTGAACAACTGTAATGACATTAGTGGAATGAAAATTTGAGTAATATTGCTTACTAGTAGCAGTGGAACTTGAAGGGAGAGCCAAAGGACAGAGAGCGAACACAAGGATATTTTGAGAGCTCAACTCCTTTTGGGATGGTTATAAAGCGATACACAAGTTAACTCAGCGCTGATTAACAAAGACAACAAAGGCGATCAACACGAGAAGGACCGAGAAAGACTTGCATGGTTAATCCTGTAACAATGAGGGCAATAAACCAGAAATTATAAAGGTATTTAGATCATCGGCTTGTATGGCAAAGCATAGGAAAGCAGTGTGGGAGGCTGGCAACGTTTGAGCGGAGTCCAGGATGTTTGGGTCGGAGAAAGAGACAGAAATCATGTGTGCGCTGTCAAACTCAACTTCGATTGATAATTATGGCCAACGAATTCACAGTTATCGCTCTTTTCATACGAAGGCCTGCTCATCGTAGAGGTCGACATCATGAGGTTTGGACGATGAGCCAAGAGGCGCGCGGTATCACTTAAAGTCACGTTTTCGAATTTTATTCAAGTCCCACGTTGATTTTCTCCCAGTTGTGCCTTCACTCCCTCATTTATAATCAAAAACTACCCTTTTCCTCATCAGACTCTTCAAGACCTTTGAGATATCCAATTTGGTATCAAACCGATATCGTCAAATCAAATAATTTAAAGCACCGGAGCGTAGGAGACGTGTTCTGAGCGGCGACGATCGGAAAACCAAGCAATTTCGAGCGGAGTGAGCAACCACTTTCTTCCCTTTCCTTCCTTCCATCTGTCTCCTCTACTGGAGCCTATTATCTGTCTGCTTCACAAATTACCGGCTCGATCAAACGCTCAACATGGCTCCCGTTCTGCAGGTCCGTGACTATTCGCTCGCTCATAGAGAACAAATTTCTGTGAGCGCTGGGCAAAATTCTTGTCCTCAATGGCAAGCGATCAAGCCAAGAATGCTGGTGCTGTGGCCCAGGAGCATCACATGCCACCATACCAAGCATACGGTGCCTACTCGCCTCCTTTCCCGGTCTACTATGATCCAAGCCATCCTGAACCAAACGGCGCGCCACACCCAGCACCCCCGTACATCTATCATCACCCGCCTCCAGGGATGATGTACCCTTATCCTCCTCCTGGTAGGTCCAGCTCCGTTCTCTGTTGTTCTCTCTTACGTTAGAGGCTCGTAGGATTTCCGCCTTATGCACCTCCTCCCCAAACTAACTTTCAGCGTGTTAAACGTAAGCAGGTCAAGATGGCGGTACGTTGACGTACATTTTTACGCCCATTTTCTAAATTAATTATGATATTATGTCAGTGTACTAACTGCGCGAATGCCTGCAAGCGTTGTGACGAGCATCGTCCATGTGAACGATGCGTCAAATATGGTATCCCAGAAACGTGCGTTGATGGTGTGCGGAAGGAGCGACAGAAGGGAATAAAGCGGGGACCCTACAAGCGCAAAAACAAGTCCGGCGGCAGTGATACTGCTACCTCACCTACTCATAATGCCACTTTCGAGAGTACGTTATAAAATCATCAGTCTGCACTTTTTTACTCATCGGCAGGATGGACAGCTTTCTCATCCACCCCAACCGAAGCAAACGGAGACTCGGCCTGGCACCCGCCGAACGGTGTAGCCCAAGGTTCCGCGACCGCAACTCCTGCACCGGCCTCAATGCCATCCTTTCCTCCTCCTCCACCAGAGGGGGGATATTATCCTCCCCCATATTTCTATCCTCCCCCTCCTGGTTTTGTACCTCCCCCTGAGGGTCAGGCGCCCGTGGAAGGGTCCCCAAATTCTGGTGCACCTCCTCCGATGATGCCTTACTATATGCCTCCTCCTGGATACTATGGACCGCCGTATTACGGCCCTCCTGGCGTGCCGCCGCCCACTATGGATCCAGCTCAGGCAGAACTTCAAAGAACATCTGGCCCGCCTGTAGATCATGATCCTGAAGTTGAAGAAATCCCACCGCCTGCTCCCAAGACAAATTCGAAGAAGAGGTCAAGAGTGGGAAAAGATGGGCAGCCGAAGGCGAAGAAGACTAAGGTTGCTGCTGTTGTGCAAGAGTCTTCAACTTCCAGTGGAACGACGGGAGGGAGCGACCAGGCTTCAGAACCTGGACATGGCAGCCCAACTGAGATAGGTGATGCATGAATATCATCGGATCTCGTCTTGCTGCACACAGTTCCCTGCTTTCGCACCGCTATTATTTCTTTTTTTTTTTGTGATCCCTGCTTTCTCGTTGTTCAGTTTCAAATGCAAGTTCGATGTGATTCTGTTTTGCCTCCTACGTACTTCTGAAAACTTTCAGACACTCCGACGCTCTTTGACCACCAACAAGGTCTCGATGAGGATGATAATATGTGGAGAGGATGTAGATCGTGTGACGCGATCCTGTTTATGGTCAAAAAGCCGCCGGAGGCAAAGTATGCTGTCATTCTCGAACCCCCCCGTACGTTGATGATTGTTACTCCCACAGTCAAAATTTTTGGACGTCCCTGGATTTTGTATTCTGTCGCCTTTTTTCTTTATTTTTGCCCTTTGGAATTACGGTTTCTGTTTCTTGTACGTCCATGACCTATCTATCATCCTATGCTCCATGCCTTCCTGCTTTCACTTAATATGACTGGGTGGTATTTATTATTGTAGGATATGCTGAACGTTGAAGCAATATGATGGTGACGGTCGTCCGTGGTTACCGGCGTTGATTTTCAAAGTGGTAGTCAGATACCATGGAGGGTTTGCAAACATAATTACCTTGCTCGCTGTGGTAACGTTTCATGCACATTCAAAATTCAAGGGTTCATCGCAACGTGACGACATCGCCACACAAGTCGACAGTCACGGAATCACGTTCAATAGTCTGCGCAAATAGGTTGCGTGATGAGGCCCTCAAATGCCAAAAGTGCCAAAATACAAGAGAAGCGGAAAAATATCAGACAAAGAAAAAGTGCAGGTAAAATTTCTTCCCCAGCGAATGAACAACATACGTAAGGCGGCCGGCTATGTCCGGGCGTTTGTTTATTTCAGAAGGTGTTGCCAAACAATCGCTTAAATTTTGAGTGACTTCAAAACTCGAAAACCGGTTGTATCCTTTCAAGCTTCCTCTTCACCATCTTCTGTACTTTGTCTTTTCCGCGCAACATGTCTGTTCTCCGTGCCCTTCGTCAGGTTACTGCATCCTCATCACGGGCTGTCGCTCGTCCTGTTGCTCGCTCCGGTCCCCTGCGCTTTGCGACTGTGCAGCTTGCTCCACGGGCTTCCATGACTGCTGCGAGAGCTTTCTCTGCATCTGTGTCTCGTTTTTCGGAGGGTTCGAGTGAGCTTCGTCATTTTTTCCATGAACCAGTACTGACGCTTCTTTGGTACCGATAGCTGACGTCGTCGTCTCACAAAAACTTGCCGAGGAACTTAAGTATGAGATAGAGGCTATCGCTGACGCGCCAGGAGAGCCTGAGTTCTTGAAGACATTCAAGGAGGAGGGTATCTGGGAGGTATGCATTGTGCAGAGCAGATGGTGGGCTTGTTCCTCAGACCTTGCACACAGATCCAGGACGTCGCCGGTAACGATGAGGTCACCCTCGTACGGAAATTTGGCAATGAGACGTGGGTAAAAATTTATACTGCTTGGCATGTATTGATATGTTTTTAGTATTCGTATGATGTTCTCCATTGCCGACATTCAAAACGCTGAGGAAGAGCCGGAGTATGAGCAGGAAGAAGGTCAAGGTGGAGAGGAGCAACCTCTCCACTCGTACCCCATCCGTTCTTCATTCTCCATTACAAAGGTATGACCTCCTATGAAATATTCTTGCGCTTGTACTTACATTTGGGTGTAGGCTAATGGCAAGGGGTCTATCAACATTGACACTATGTGCCAGGAGGGCGCGTTCATCATTGACAACATGTCCTACTATCCTGATGCACAGCTTGGCACCGAGCTTACTGCTGAGGCCGACTGGAAACGCCGTGGTTTGTACATCGGACCTCAGTTTGATACTCTCGACGTTTCCGTCCAGGAGGAGATTGAGAAGTGGCTACAGGAGCGGGGTATCAATGAGAGCCTTGCCATGTTCGTTCCTGAATATTCTGAATATAAAGAGCAGAAGGTTAGTGGTCGTTTGCCTGTCCATTCTTTGCAGGACCTTATCGCTTGCCCCCATAGGAATACGTGAGCTGGTTGGAAAATGTGAAGAACTTCATGGATGCATAGGCATGTAGTTCTTGCTCTCATTGCTTTCACGACTACCCAAAAGCCATCCCCGCTATCTGCATGACCTTGCACGCATCTTTACACGTACAACCATACATTTATTGGCTGTTGTCTCCCCCCTCAGTCCCTCACTAGCATCTAATGTTACTCAATGCTAATTGCTCTTGCTTATAAAAGTCCATGTTGTCTTCAAACCTCAGCGAGATCAACTATGTTCATTTCTACATGCCAAGTGGCCCACTAACATCTGAGTTGTGTTTCTAACAGTGATTCTCAAATCATGTGACTGCATAGACCACCGGGAACATGTCTATCACTATGAAGTGGGCTCGGAGCGCTGAGACCATTAGAGGCAATCCAAGCATGTTTCTCGTCACTTATACGACCTTCCAGACCTTCGAATTGACCTCCACAGGTCGCTTATGCGGCGATCTAACTTGAAGTGAATGAGCCACCAGTGACCACTGCCGCTCCACGTTACGACAACACAATAACCAACTTTCGGGGGGTCCATGCATGTGCAGGTCCACAGGTTGCTCCTGCGCGTACATATAAGACCTTGTTCAAGCCAGGACATGATCAACTCATCTTCTGTGTCCTCGTCTACCAAGTCTTCTCTAGTAACCCGCCTCCCTCGCCATATCAGTGATGTCGTCATCTTCCAGGCTCTACATCCCCGTACACCGACGGGAACCTTCAACAGGTTCGCCGAGCTCAACAGAGGTCTCGCCACCAGCGGACTCGTTGTCGCCCTTGCCTCATGATAATCGTGAATATCATCCCCTAGCCTTTACCCATTGATACTTAATGTTTGTCGCATCATACAGGGCCTATCTACACGCCTTCAGACATGCTACTATTAGCATCATCGCCACTGCCAAAGTTGTCGCGTGAGGAATTGAGCGCCTTGCGAGCTGCGGTACCGGAAATCATGCAGAGCCAGAGGCAGCGCAAATTGCACGAATGGAATATGAGCTTTGGTCCGTACTGGCCTGGGAATCCCCGTAGGCGCTCTCAATTCCCTTTGCGGTCGCATTCAAGCACTTCTGAGTCTGAAGGGGAGGAACAAGGATGGAGGAAATAAGGGGTAGTAATACATATACCTGTCCGAGTTGACTAACTTGATTCATTGCTTACGACCGATCAAGGATACCCTAAGATTCGTGACAACCACTTACACCCTCGAGTTTGTATTTTGTAAATGAAAACGAGTCCCAGCAAACGTATCGTATTCTATCCAGGTGAAATTTTTTCGAATCAGCAGTTGGGTATCAGTAGTTCCCTCTATGCAAACCATAGAACGAAGACAGTCATTATGCTACAGATCATGTTGCATGGATCCAATTTTTTGAGCCAACACCCAAAGAGTCCTTCGGAAGTGCGTAACTAAGAAAGACTATGGATTTCTCGGCAGCAGAGATGGCCCAGGGTTACCGCAAGCTTGGACAAGGATGTAAGCTTCGGATTTCGTCCGTAATAGTGGCTGGTAGGCTGTAACCTTGCGCACTTGAACTGGCATGTGGAAGTAAAACAGATGGTCTACTCCGACTGATTCGATCCTCAGACCTCAGATGAACGAAACAAATAGCAAGAAACGCCTGATAGCTATTCATTACAAAAGAAATGAAGTACAGAAAAAATGTGCATAGCCGCCAGCAGTGAGTAGCCCGTCTCAAACTCAAACAGACATGAATAAATGAAAAATAAGCCTACACCTTGATCAACCCCTTCAACCACCTCGCCCACACACTAACATCTGCAGCACGTGTGTAACCAATGCCGACTACTGCTAGGCTTATCACCAGGAGGAGCCATTTAGTGTTGCTCCTCCGCTCGATGAATCCCTTAAGGGGCCTTGTTCAATAAGCCAAGCTCATAAGTGCTAGATATTGCGATTACGTACATGGCCATTTGCCGACATGCGGGGACGGGGCGGGAGTTTGACACCGAGACGTTTGAGAGAAGCTACTTTCCCGGACTGGAACTTATGGTGAGGGGAGTGCCGAGGGTTATAAATCATCAAAACGTACAGTGTAAGGGGGAAACCTTGCTCCTAGGACATTGTCAATCCTAGAAGATGTCACAAGTGAGCAGGTGGACAAAATTGAAAGCAAAAAACGAACCATCCGGGGGAGTCAATAGAGGCACGTAGGTGCGTGAACATGTCGAAAGAGAAACCTCGTGTGTGATACCCAGCTAAAAAGATGTAATCAGTGATGACTTGCTGGAGAGAAGGATGGACTGACATCCGCTGGGGCCAATACCACCGAATGGAAGTCCATCAGCTAAGGGACTATCAGTGGGCTATCCTCATTAGGAACATAGTAAAACATACTGGCGCAGTGTACCATCACATCATTGGCGACGGCTGAGCCACTCTGAGTATTGTCAAACACTGACCAAGAATGTCAACGACGTTAGCTTAATAGACGATCGAAAGTAAAACGCACCCTTGTTCTTGAAGGCTGCATCGGGCGAGAAACAGTACAAAGCGAGCGGATGGTCGCTGACAGAACTCAATCTGATATTAACATGTAAATAGAAGGCCAACTCACTGAGCATTGATGTATGCGATTGCTTCATCGACATCGTCCACAGGCATAATAGGCAAGATTGGCCCGAATAACTCACTTTGCAATCAGTCAGACATGCTTGAAGATACTCCAACAGATAGATGTATACGCACTCGCTCATTAGAGAATCTCCATCTTTGACACCCTTGACTACGGTAGGGGCTATAAATTTTCGCGACTCGTCAGTCTGCCCGCCAAAGGCGATGGTGCCGGAAGTACTGTCGAGCAAATTCTTGAGACGATGGAAGTGCGCGAGGTTGATGATACGTGAGAGATCCGGAGTGGTGGTAGCGCCAGAAGGATAAAATTCGTCGTGTCTGCGGGCGTGGTAGGATACAGATTGAGCATGTCGTATATAAGGTTGTGATGAGATACGCACACATCTTTGAGGGCCCTTACGAACGCGTCTTCGGAAGAGCGCGGGACGAGGACGTAGTCTGGTGCGACGCAGGTCTGACCGGCATTAGCGCACTTGCCCCACAGGATACGGCGTGCAGCAATCTTGAAGTCACATTTAGGATCGATGACAACGGGGGACTTCCCTCCGAGCTAGGAAGGCATTGGTACCAGTACATCGCACTGAAGGTATGGATTTACCTCGAGGCTGATAGGTGAAAGAGTCTTCGCAGCGGCTACGCCTATAAGCTTTCCTACACGCCCGCTCCCGGTGTACAGGACTGGTCGTCTCGCATCATAATTTGGACAATAAAAATAGTAAATTGCACATACCGTGGCCCCATTGGTATTCCATGAGCTGTATTCCATGATGAGTACGCAGCCCATATGTAACAGAAGTGAATGACACACCTTAGTGGTTTCTGGAACACCACCCAACACGATTCTAATGACATCATTGTCCATATACTTTGGAATGAGTTCCGCAATGAGGCCGCTTATAGCGGGGGACAATTCAGAGGGTTTGAGAACGACACAGTTACCAGCAGCAATTGCTCCAACCTTGGGAGGGAAACAATGAACTGGGAGTGAGCGTAATAAAAGACGAAAAGGAACATACGACAGGTCCAAGAGAAAGCCATACGGGGTAGTTGAATGGGCTGATGGACAACACGACACCCTTTGGCTCCTTGCGAATAGCTGGACGGAAAGCAGCAAATTTGATGTTGAAAGGTGCTTTTTCGGTTCGAGCCCACTTGTCCACCCGGTCATAAGCGATCTTACAGTCACTGATAGTTGAGTCAAGCTCGAGGCTGGAATGCAGGCAAGTGAGCTTCATACAAGGTAAGCGAAACAGTGCTTACAATGAAGCTTCTAGAGGAGGTCTCCCCAGGTCAATGGCAAGGGCCTCCTTGAAACGTTCAAGGTTGTCCTGCAGGAGGTAAGCCAGTTGCAGGATCTGAACCTTTCTGAATGCAACGGGTTTAGTTTTGCCCGACCGGAAGGTCTTGTTGAGAGTGGAGTAAATCTGGAGCGCATTCCGTGAGCTACAGAACCGTTGTAATTTGGTTTGCAAGTCTCGCACCTCGTCGATTTCTTCAAACGTCGTGGGTTTTAATTCAGGTGCCATACTTGACATGATGGCTGTACACCGGGAGTGAACACGTTCTACAGCTACGTGGCCTTTAGCATATACACAGTATAGAGTCCCAGCCTCGCAACCAGTGTTACGAATGGATCAAGAATTCGAACAGACACGAGTCTATCCACGTATGACACCAGTTCCACCAATCATTGAAGGACTTACAGTCTCTCACACAAATAATATCGGGTCTCCAAGGAACTACGGCTTTTCTGCGATTCGGATGGGAAGCTATGGGAGATGACTGCAATAAGCGAAAGCGAAACGAAAAGAATCAGCTGGGAGTGCTTTGACTCTGAATTATGATGGGAAATAATGTCGTGCCTCGGAACAACCGGCTACTATGCTGCAAAACACGGTGTTGTGTACATGACTATTTTGAAGTAGTTCCGAGTCTGCCGGTAGAACTGGCAGAACCATACCATATAATTCTACCAGTGTACATGTAGCAGGCGGCAGAATTAATTTTCAGTACTTCAAGTACTTGTACATGCTACAATATTGATGTGAGACCACTGGATAGCAAGTCCTTGCAAATAATATCTGTAGTTGGTGGCGTCTACCATTGCTGCCGGTACACTAGTAGTCCATGCAGCCGCCACACTTTCGCAAAGTCGAATGCTTTCCCTTCTCATACTTCCGTTCCATTCCAGTCCATTCACATCCCAAGGCAAACTCTCCGTGCATCGTTCTTTCCCCATATAATAAGATTCATTTATAACTACTATCGTTCCGGGTGCTTTGAAAACCTACGATCATCGACCCAGGTTCATTGAAGGAGCAAGTTAAAGGAACGACTATCTTCATCGGTCTGTCTACGTGGAGGAGACTAGTTGATATGCCCTTGATCAGTCAGAAGAAACTACTAATGTCCACACTTATTAATATGCTGAGTTATGCGCTGCTCTGCCAGCTTGCCACAGGCTCTAGTTAACCACCTTGACCAGTCTTTTGTCATATTTCTGATAGTCCTAATGCTGTAGTCTCTGCTGTCGACGTCTATTGAAATACATATGAGTAATCAAATACCAGAGGAGTGAGGAATTCGTCTGGAGACTCATCACGTCCTCCGTCGCAGTGATCGTTGAAACTCTGGGCGGATGGAGGTGAGTATCTGCTGTTCCTGTGCGTGCGTATCGGTCGACACAATCACAAGCTGCTCGTAATCGATCAAAATCACATTTCAGGGATATTTGCAGCCATCCGACGATTATCGGAATCAACCACAGCCACATTGAACTGGTGGCTTCACCGTCGGCTTGAATGCATACATCGGGTTGGCTACACCCAGGAAATAGGCGACGACTACTCAAGGGTCCCAAGCGATGGAGATCGCGGACGCGATTGACCACGTATGAGCGTAGTCCACTGATTTAGATAAGAATTTCTACCAGGTGTTGGGACAGCAAGAGAGGGGAAGTGTGCATGGAAATACAGTCTAAGCGGGGCTTGCCAGAGGCTACTCAAGATAAAGACCACGAAACGTGAATCAGGATAAGTCACTGGCTAATTGAATCGGCGATTGATCCAACGAGAATCGAGAAGGGTGGTGGATAGAGAATCAGTGACCCAACGGTTATCACAGAAGATATGCATGAGCTTATCAAGCCTGTACTATGCCCCAAAGGGGAATTGCGAAAACAGTGCAAGATTTGGTAGTAGCCATGCGTTAAAATCTTGTGAAAATTTGGACCACCCGGAAACTCTTCGCAGATGGACGTGCACAGTGAGTAGTGGCGTTCTGGCATAGCAAAGTAGCCCCCCAAGATGTGATCCGACAAAGATTCCCGTGTTTGTCCAGGTAGGCGCTAGGATGACCGGGCGAATTGCGGAACCGGGCAAGAAAAACAGGAAACGCACAAATGCCGTGCTCGACCCGTTTGGCAGTGACTCACGTCATTTGCATTTCGGTGGAGAGCGATGGTACTGTAAAGCACGATCCTTGTCAACAGGACAAGGAATCGGAGTTTTCGCTCTCAAAATTGTCGCTTTCGACATGTCGGCGCTTCGCCTCCATAGGTGAAAGCTACAGTGTCGTTGTATAAGGGCGATCTATCTCCGTGAAAATCCTGGTGCAGTGCCCAGGCTGGAGCGCTGGCTTGTAGGTGGTCTGAGGAAGTCTAAGTAAGCCCTGCATGTTCGATAGTCGTAGTCCATCCTCGATAGACAGCTTCCTCCTTGCCTTCGTGGTTTCTCTTGCGCCTCAGTTGGGGCCCGGTCAAACATCGGGTTATAATCATGCTAATATCTCATAAGGCTTTGAAAGGTGCCATCGTGAAAGGAACGTGCAGGTAGTGTATCTGGTGGAAGACTCGATGAGGAAGGAAAGACGCATATAGTCGTGTTATTTTCTTAGGGTGGGGCGCCAGCGGGATGTGGGCCTACATCGGCATTATCGCCGCATCAGGTCTTGAAGCTTGACGCTTGGCTTGAGAGTCCAGTGTCTAACATTGATATTGGTCATGTATAGAGTGTCGTGAGGTATTGTGAGGTGTTGTGGGTGAGTTACCCCACATACTTAAGACCCTGGATAGCTAATTGTTGTCAGGCACTGAGTACTATAATTAATTCTCACTAGCGCTGAACGTTACATAGTGCTTGACACGGGGGCAACTTCACATTGAATCGGGATCTAGTGGGAGGTTTCTTAGCAGTATCGTACATAATTGAGATCCGAGGTATCACCTCGCTACCGGACCCAGACTCACTTGTCTAGAATGTCTCCCTCTTTTCTCTTCGTGAAAAATCGTGGAAATTATTCTTCATAATCATTTCTGCGCGCCCGCGTGCTTGTCGATCCAGGGACCAACTCTAAAGAACGCGTAGCCACTGGCAAATATCAACGCAAGGGCAGTGGAGCCGCTACCGCCGCCAACCATAATGCGCCACCAGAGCGCCCGACTTATGCCGACCTAGAAAGCGAGATAACCGGCTTGACTAGGTCACCGTTACCCACTGGCAAGAGTTCCTAAGTGCTGGCGCTCATTATCGTGATTCCGAGTCCCTTGCTGGCCTAGTATTGTGCGTCCTTGGCCATCGCGATAAAGCGATGACGAAACTGTTTGATACCCGGTACAGCCGTACAGCTAAGCACTAGACATGGAAAGACTTACATACATTTAATAAACTGTATGCATGTTCAAAATGCGGGCCGGTTCCCTTTACGTTCATATATGGTCTTCTTCCATAGCCCTGCACAAAAGTCCCTGGTGGAAATGTATTGCGGTCGTACTTCATACAGATCAAGGGAAGGGGACTGCGCCCTTGATGAATGCCGTCACTTGTGTCATCAAATGTATAGTTGCTTTGATGCGGTCATAAGCTACAAAGCACAGGAAAAACCATAGTCGTGCGACCATATCTTTCATCAGTCGACGCATATTACAGACGATTAACATTGCAGAACGCTAGGCCAGACTGCCCCAAAAAAATAAAACACAAGTCGGCAACAAGTCAGAGAAGTCAGACCACGAACTTTCATTTTTTGACAGTCAATCCAAGGACGTTGTGACGTACCCAGACATTCACGGTATCTGATCGGACATTGCGTCCTGTTTTATTTTTGACGATTGACATAGCTATCTCGTACAAAGTATCTGATACTATGGAGAATGAAGCAGTGCATACTGATTGTGTTTGATCAATACCTGTGGGAAGAAGTTTGGAGCACTGCAGCGAGGGGATGGACTCGTCGGGTTGTTGAACGTTGAAACGTTGATTATTGATTGTTGGGAATGCATTTCCTACGCTTCTTCGGCTGCAGGAGGAACGTGTTGTATGTATTAGTGCTTGGTTAGGGCATCCAGGTGCACGATCGCAAACTCATGTCCGAACAGCTGCAAACGGCTCTCCGGATGCCGGTGAATAGTAAGATTACCCATATTGTTATTAACGCCGAACCTGCAGGCAACTGGGAGTCTGGGACGGGTCTAATGGCAATCCTACCCTCTTCAACTGGAAGTGAGCTTGATTAACGACAGACTGTACTGTTAAATTAGCAGCTAGAGAAGATGTTAATATTATGGAGGCCGCGGGTTTCATGCACGACCTTCAACGCGACCTTGAACTAGTAATTACTGATAGGCTAGCCTGTGTGCCACGGTTGACCTGTATGACCTCAAAGTTCCCTTCGCACGAGAAGCGGGCAGGTGCCATTAATATAAGAATAGGATCCAGGGAAAGAATAATAGTGACTTGCGGAAATGGATGTGAACGCGGTTTGTAACAAGCTGCGGGAGCAAATGTCTGACATGTCAGTTCAGACTTTCCGCTGAAACACACTGAGACAACAGTACTAGTACTACATAATGCAGATTACCACCACGACTTGATCCGCGACCCACAGCAAAAACCACTCAATATCGTCGGTCCGATCGGCATCGGAGAGACAAGCAAGAGGTAAAAAAAACTCTATAATTAAGTTCGTGTTTGGTCCGACTACTACTAGAAGAGACGTTAGCTAGGGACATTTGGATAATCAAGATAGCCGCAGATAGCACACAGTACTGGCTGGAACCCCCTTCGATGATGTAGTACCTTGCAGTCGGCCCATTATCATATTTTGCTGTGGGGCAAAATGTCTCCTGTACCAATGTCCGCAGATGCCGCCTTTCTGCAACGTACAGCGAAAAGAACTCAGACTGTGAGGAGTAAGTCGGACCGATCGGCATTGGCTAAAGGGTTACACATGTTGGGATAATCAAGATAGCTCCGCTCCACCGACTGCGTGAACATTACTACTAGTCAGTGGTCGCGATCGACGATCTGAGCTCCTGTTGGCCATTGTCAGTCCAATGACAAATTGCACACTTTTGGTAGGTTCAGCTTTACAAACAGACGTAGTCTAACTCGTGAAATATTTCATTGATGTTGACCCCGGAGTACATAGATCTTATGATTTGGTTCATGTCATAGCCGTGGCACATGGACCATGCCATCTGTTCTCGTCCGTTGTTGTGTTTGTGATGGAGGTTAATGTAAATTCGCAGATACTGTCCTTATGAACTTGAACTTGTCTATGGCGGACACGTAGCTTTGTGCCAAGCGTGCCGTTGAACCGAAGCTTGGTCGCAGCCAAGAGTCCACGTAGCGTGAACTTGGCGTTTCGAAGTAGCGGTCGGGATTGAAATTGAGTAAGAATTGGACTTGGCAAGATTATTGTGAGCCTGTGGGGTACGACAAGTACGGGGCCTTCGCATGTTCGAAATGACCACCATACGGTGATAGAGCGCAATACAGGTCTCTAACAGGTACTTTTTATTAGCCTGAGCCTGCGATATCGGGACAAGGAATGATACGGAACGGCAGTGTCAGCACGACTGTTGCCGAGATTTAAAAAGTATTATTACGATTCTGACTAAATTAGGTTGGAACCTCCGTATTTGGCTTTATTTTGGTATTTCGATCACTGATTTTTGGTTCCCAAATATAAAGTCCGTTCAGCGACGGGGCTGACATTCTCCCACTCCTTCCTCATCCTCCTTGACACACCCCGTCAATTCTCCTCTCAAAAGTGCCCGAGACACTATAGATATTTCTATAGGGCTTTCCCCTCCTCCCCCCTCTGCATCGTTTTCCATGTCGGTTTCAAGCGTGGCCAAGGAGCCTGGCCCACAAGGCGAAGAGTCGCCTGTCGTCAGCCCATCCTCTCCAGATGAAAAGAAGAAAAGAGAGTATAAGGAATTCGGCCATGACGAAGAGAAACCAACCCGTAGGCTTTCGCCTTCTGACACTGCTGCTCCCTGATCTTACGTTACTTCCATTTCTATCTTTATCGCCGCAGATGCCAATGTTGACATGTCATTGGTGAGTAGTCGCCGCACCTCCAGTTAATTAATTTCTTACCTGTCATTAGATTGAGTTGAAAGCGGAGGACCTTTATGACAAAGAAAAGGTCGACCTCGAGACCATCGTTATTGAGGATGTTTTCAAGCTCCTTCAATGTGACGAGGAAGGTCTTGGCGACGAAGAGGCACTCCGTCGTATCGAACTTTTCGGTCCCAATAAGCTTGAGCAGGAAGAGCAAAATGCGTTTTTGCAGGCATGTTATCCAGCACACTTCTGGAGCGCTTTCACTTACCTCTGTTCCATAGTTCTTGAGTTTCATGTGGAATCCTTTGTCCTGGGTCATGGAGGGCGCAGCGCTCGTCGCCATTGTATTATCAAACGGTAATAATCAACCACCAGACTGGGAGGATTTCATCGGTATCGTTCTTCTCCTCTTCATTAACTCCGCCATCGGTTTCTACGAAGAACGCAACGCTGGTAATGCCGTCAAGGCACTTATGGATTCCCTCGCCCCAAAAGCAAAAGTCAAGCGTAACGGTGCCTGGTTGGAAATCGAATCCGCTGGCCTCGTTCCTGGTGATATGATCTCTTTCAAGATCGGTGACATTGTTCCCGCAGACTGTCGTTTGACGGAAGCCATCAACGTCTCTATTGACCAAGCTGCCCTTACGGGCGAGTCTCTCCCTCAGAGCAAGAAGTTGGGTGACCAGTGTTTCTCGTACGTCGTCTTCGGTTTAGCACAGTACTTGGCATTAAAATATACTCTCAGGGGTTCGACTTGCAAGCAGGGTGAGGCAGAAGGTGTCGTCATTTCCACTGGTGCCAACACTTTCTTCGGTCGGGCTGCTTCCCTCGTGGGCCAGGACGATGACACTACGGGTCATTTGCAGAAGATCCTTGCCCAGATTGGCTCATTCTGCTTGGTATCGATCGGCATCTTCGTCCTCGCAGAGATTTTCGTACTTTACGCAGGCTTCCGCTACAGCTATCGTCGTGGTCTCAACAACATATTGGTGCTCCTGATCGGTGGTATCCCCATTGCCATGCCAACTGTCTTGTCCGTCACTCTTGCCGTGGGTGCACAACAACTCGCTAAGCACAAAGCCATTGTTACCCGTATCACCGCTATCGAGGAGTTGGCTGGTGTCACCATCCTTTGCTCCGACAAGACGGGTACCCTGACCACCAACAAACTTACCATTGACAGGGCCACCATTCGTACATACGGCCCCTTCTCTGTTGATGACATCATGCTCCTCGCTGCTTACGCTTCTCGTACCGAGAACCAGGATGCTATCGACTCGGCTGTTGTTCAGGCTCTCGGTGATGCCACCCGCGCTCGTGTTGGTATTAAACTCCTTGACTTCAAGCCTTTCAACCCCGTCGACAAACGCACAGAAATCACCTACCGCGAAGAGGCGTCCGGCAAGTTGAAGCGCGTTACCAAGGGTATGACCGGTATCATCATCGAACTTTGCTCACGCAACAAGACCGAGGAATTGGAGAACAAACTTGAAGCTGATGTTGAGGAATTCGCCACTCGTGGTCTTCGTGCCCTCGCTGTCGCATATGAGGAGCTCGACGGCCAAGACCCAGAAGGTGAAGGCAACGGTTTCGAGCTCATTGGCCTCCTTGCCATCTTCGACCCCCCTCGCGAAGACACCAAGCAGACCATCGATGATGCTCTTGCTCTCGGTGTGAAGGTGAAGATGGTTACAGGTGATCAGCTTGCAATTGCGAAGGAGACTGGACGCCGTCTTGGTCTCGGTGACCACATGTATCCCGCAAAGGTTCTCAAGGACGGTCCTGCTCCTGGGAGCAAACACTTGTCACTTGACGAGATGATTTTGGATGCTGATGGTTTCGCTGGCGTGTTCCCTGAGCACAAGTATGAGATCGTTAAGCGCCTCCAGGGTCTTGGCCACTTGTGTGCTATGACTGGTGACGGTGCCAACGACGCTCCCGCTCTCTCCCGTGCAAATGTTGGTATTGCCGTTGAGGGTGCCACAGACGCTGCCCGTGGCGCTGCTGATATTGTGCTGACTGAGCCTGGTCTTTCCACCATCGTCCACGCTATTCGTGGTTCACGTGTCATCTTCCAGCGTATGCGCAACTATTCTATATACGCTTGCGCTGTCACCATTCGTATCGTTGTCTGCTTCGCTATCCTTGCCTTCGCGTACAAGTTCGACTTCCCTCCCTTCATGGTCTTGATCATTGCCCTGTTGAACGATGGTACAATCATGACGCTCTCAGTTGACCGTGTCTTGCCCTCAATGACGCCTGATTCTTGGGACCTCGCTGAGATCTTCGCGTACGCCGTCGCCTATGGTATCTACCTGACTGCCTCGACGTAAGCAACACTTTATCTACATTGCTGTCAAACTAAATCATTTCCTGTAGTGTCGCTCTGGTCTCTATCATCATGGAGACCACGTTCTTCTATGACAATTTCGGTGTCACCTTCGCTAACGGTGTTGGGAATGGCGCATTTCCTATCAATTCCAATGATTCTCAGCTCCATATGATTGTCTACCTCCAAGTTGCTATCATCTCGCAAGCCTTGATCTTTGTCACCCGTTCGCACGGTTTCTTCTTTATGGAACGCCCTTCTTTCGCCCTCTTGGGGGCATTCTGCATCGCGCAACTCGTGTCTTCGATTATCGCTGCTTACGCCGATTTTGGCTTCACGCAGATTCAGCCGATCTCAGGTGGATGGATTGGTATTGTGTGGGTTTGGGTACGTATATCTGTCGAGTATTCTTTCTGTGCCTTTGTTCACTCATGAATCTATAGAATATCGTTTGGTTTGCCCCTCTCGACTGGATCAAATTTGCAATGAAGGCTACCGTTATCAAGAAGCTTCGTCAGCGCCACGAGGCAGCACAAGCAGAACAGGCCATCACTGGTGTCCCCATCACTCGCACCCAATCTCGCGCTGCGTCGATCCACGAATCGTTATACTCAAACCGTGTATCGTTCATCCGCCGCGCTGCTCGCAAGGTTGGGTTCGGATCTAAGATTACGATGAAGCCCGAGGAGCTTCAACGCTTCAGCAGTATTCAAGCGCAACGTACGGGTGCGACACTCGCTCGCAATCCCAGCCGCACGGCTGCTGCATAGACTTAGTGAGCTGTAGAATGGAATGCCTGTCTCGAGATTATCCACAGCAAAGCAAAACACATGGAACGATGTCATCTGTAATCTAGATATTATCAAGGCCCGCCGTCTTTCGCATGTGGTGTCATCCCTCTCTTTGCCTATTCCTACTTATTTCATGTCATCATCACACGTACATACGCATGGCATTGAATCCGGATACCTCGTGCCCTTTTTGTTGGTTGCTCTTGGTTTAATTTTTCTGTGGTTCAAGTCGGCCGATGTGTTTACTTTTCCGACTTCCGAGACCCACACTCCTTTTTTCCCGCTCTTCTCCGTAGCTAATGATTGATAGTGGGGCCTTAGGGCTACTCGTATAGATTCCTGCATCCGACGTTCGATGTTTATGATTCATGAAATGCCTACATATGTATGTCCCAATTACAACATAACTTAAGACAGATATGTCCCTCCATTACAGGCAATGGCTAAAAAAACGCTGAGCACCCCAACAAGGTGGTCCATCAATATCAAGGTCTGCTTATTGATACAACAGTGGTCTCACTGGTCTGTTAGAAACAATGATTGAAAATTGATGTGGATACGCTTCGCTGTTGCACGGTCGCGCGTGACAACCACAGGGAGAGTCAAATCTGGCTGGCTCCTTCAGGCCTCAAGGAATCGCCCTTCCGGTCGTAGAGGAAACCGAAACGAATCTTACGGCCTATTCTCAAGAATTTCAGAATTTCAGGGATGTTCAAGTTAGTACTTATTCTGGTGTCAGACGCATTACATCAGATGCGAGAGTCCCTGTCATCATATAAGGCGTGTGTGAGTGTGAGGAGAACGTCAACGCTCGTGCCACTGCGGGCAACTAACCCCGAATCAAACGCCCGCCATCAGCCACCATCAGGGAAGATGCGCATATGCGCGCACAATCAAATCAGGGGGACGGAAACAACAGAGACAACAGAGATACAATCAAATCTTGTACCTGCCAGCTAACAGCCTCCTAACAGCATACAGGAACATATGATACAGGTCACCGCTCAAAAGATTGACAAACAAAATTGTGGAAAAAAATGCGCGTGGATGTCACTGTCATGCGCCACTCGGGGTGTTTATCGATGAGCAGATATCGCCGCGGTCATCCCTGGAGATATGGTAGGAGCCTGGAGGAAGAACGCCAGCGAATAAGCATAGTCTGGGAAGATGGTTCGTTGTCTCCCTTAAGGGCTCGAATAATCGGACTGTGATTCCGAACAGTATCTCGGGGTTGTCGTGATGCACGAGGACTCACGTTTTCGTGGGACTTGGTGCTGACAACGTCAAGCAAGGGGTACCTGACACTAGCTTCTGCTGGCCCATCGGATCTGACCGTGGTTATTCGGTCGAACGTCGGGGATCGATGGCGCAATGAATCCCCATGAGCACGGAACCCGGTACCGCGCTACCAGTGATTATGCAAAGGAACCACAGCCTAGTTCCTGGGATCGAAGGTGAAAGCATGGTGTCGTGAGGCTCGGTCCTAGAGTCTTCCGTATCATTTGTTATAGCGGATACAAGTGTATTCAACGCTACGAACTGCTCTCATCGCTCTTTATGAGAGGAAATCCTAGATAAGCTGAATCCCACGATGCGATGATGTCAACGTTCATGGAATCAGGAAACATAGGTTCTCGTATCGCAGGGCTCTAGGCTACATCAATGAAAGGCTTTGAGACTCCAGTCCAAGTCCCATACCCATCTAGGCCATTCATAGCATCTCAACCGGATGCGTGGGAGATACCCAATGTCCTTTTTCATAGCTCTACCTGCCGAGGCGTGGGCCTCTATTCGTGAAGATGCTAAATGTGGGAAGCCAACTTGTATCGGGATAGCGCTTGTCGTTTTGCCCTGCGTTCACAGCCCACGTAGGTTTCATGATTATTCACACATCTATCTTCAGATGTTTTGTTGACCACCTTGCCTGTTTCTAGTAGAAAGTAGAAACACGCTGAAAATTTGAGTCAACGCTGGAATTCCAAAGAAATGCTCGACTACTTATTCATTGGATACAATGTAGATTAATTCAAACCAGATAACAACAGCAGTAGACAGAGGACATGGACGACCGGTCGATATCGGTATCATCATGAAGACCAGATGGCAAAGTTAACCGCAGAGGAAAGTATTTGAAATTACAATGGCCAGCTGGTCAGCCTGTGAAGGATTGAGACCCGCCTGCGAGGGACCACGTTACGACTCACGAGAAACTGGCGTGCGAACCCGAGGAAGGCCCATTTATTGACACTTAAGTCTATGATCTGTGTAAGTGGGTCTAAATCGCAAAAATAACATCTTCGTAGATGCGTTCTAGTTCTTTAGAGGACGGACAGGTGGTACAGTCACGTAGTTCCTGAAAATATGAGTCAATGCAAGACAAAGAGAAGTATGCTGCCACTTCCACGGCTGGAAATTTGTGGTCCGGAATGAGTCTCGAGCAAGTCATGCCGTCCCTGGTGTTGCTCTACCCAACAGCATCAGGATGAAGTGGATAGGGTAGTCGCGAGAAGGTGTTTCCATATCGATAATCATTGCACTGGTACCAACTTGTCGACCAGAATTGTAGCGCTGAAACCATTCCATTTCAGCTTCACGTTGGAGGTGACAAACTATTGGATTAGCTGACTACTGTGCAAGTTTTTTGTCACCTCATTTGACATCTTGCGGCGCCATCTCAGAAAGCTCAGAGCTACAAACCTCGATTTGGAACTCAAAACCATATCGTTTGAGTGATGGGTGCCTCATCACTGTTCAAGGGGATATTGGAATCCTGAGTGATAATAAGAAGGATGATCGGATGATGCTGGAGGATGGGTAGCTTGAGTTGTTGGCACAAGTTGGGTACAAGCGTTACTAACTTATCTGCCATAGTACCTCTCCCCACTAACGTCCGAATGGTCAATTCATAAACATGCGGCAGATTAATTCCAAAGCTGAACAAGACGAGTATTATCGACGGCCACGATTGGAATCTCAGCTACGTGACATCTAATTCGGGCTCGTGATCACAACGATTTTAATCTGTGGATGTCCGTCCGAGTGGTCCATACCGCGGAGAATTGATCAGTTGGTCTCCTGTGATAATTATTGGCACAATATTAATAACTTGCTGAGGTACCTGGCCCGGAGACTGGAGGTAGCATGCAGGTCATTGAAAATGCGTTTGTCAGCTTGCATGCATACAATACTTAGTAAGCATGTTTCGCACACGACAAATAATTACTGTGTCCTCGCGAGCTTGCTCACTGGCAATTGTTTTAACTTATACTGACTAGAACAAGTTCTTCACTGCCGGTGATGCAATGCTGCGTCAGTCAGCGAAATTTGGATTGAAACTCGATTGCATAAAACAAATCTTGTTGTAGACAGCAACTATCTGCAACTACTCGAAATCAAGCACTTCGACGCTTTGATCAAAAGTCCATGCTTGACGAAGTTCACAGTGTTCACAATACACATCGTAACTGTGCCCACCGACAAGTCAATCAGGCCCAGCTATGGATCCGATGATGCAGCTACTCGCTAGGTTCAAGAATGACTGGGAGGCACGACATCATGATGACTTGGGTTGTTATCGATTATCTCCAAGTCACTGGAATGCAAGGAGATTACTGCTTTATTTCCTCTGTCCGAGACAGTTTTTTTGGCATCAGAGTGATCATTTGGGGTCGGTGACCCTATGCTAGATATGTCTCGTCATGAGCCACTCGTCGATCCAATGGCCGCATCCTCGCAAACGCAATTACCACGCATGTGCAAGTCCATGCATGTCGTGTAGAAGGGCTGGTCGAGATACTGACATTCTGGAATATTCGGCTACCGTGCCCTCGGATATTTCCCTGGAGGGGGACTTCGAATTCTTGAACCCGAAAGGAGGTCAAGTTCTTGGCTTCAATATCGGCTGTGAAATGTATGAATGTAGACTCTCCTATTGATTAGAATATTGACCGAGACACCCAGAAGCCCCACCCTGTCCGATTTCAAGCGAGGGTTCTGACCAGAATCTTACTGTCATCGTGAGTCAGCTCCCATGAATTGCTACTGCTAAGCACTTAGTGGCTTTGCCACGTGGGCTCTGTCTCTGGCTTATACGAAACTCATAAAACCTAGCGTTTTGGCAACTAAGCTATCACCTGTGACATGGGATCGTAGCTTAAATTCTTGTGGCGTCTTCGAGCTGCTGCCACATCTCGGTCATCAACTAGCAACTTCTAAGCTATGTCCCAATCTTGGATTATTCTTGGCGTGGTCTACCTCAGTCGGGGTTTGCATTTATTCGACCGCTCCTTCCGTCACCATCAAAGAACGTTTGGCCTCTGTACAAGGCCCTCGGGTCTTCCCATGGCTTTTGTCGGTGGTAGTTTTGGGTGCAGCGCCTCTGGGGTTTGCAGCTTATGTTCTCGCGGATGAGATATTGCAGCGACGAAAGGCCACTCGACTTGGTACCAGATTCATTCCTCATGTCCAGGGCAAATGGCCCGGAAATCTGAACAAGATAGTGAACGTAGTCCTGAGGCTCAAGAACGAATACCTTGGTATAGTTTCCGCTTCATGCATTATGTTCGTGCTTTACTTTTGTCCAGGACGACCTATGCTGAACGAGATCAAGGAACCTGGGCCGACTCTTAGTTTTTGGTTCTTTTGGGAGGACGATATCCTGACCACGGAGTCTCAACACATAAAGGCGGGCTCCAAATTATATTCGAAGACATTAATATAGCCTAGCTCCACGCAGACTATCGTCGCAACTGATTTTTATGCGAGGTACGTTCTCGGGCTATTTCGAAGATGGTAGACTTGAGCAACAAGCTTTCAGGGACACCATAGATGACGCTACATGGACGTCCCCCGAACTTGGGAAGAAGAAGCCACTATTTGTCCCAGGGGGGGTCGTGTACGTGTTTTATTCGACAGTTTAGATCCATCGCATGACTACTTGAACAATTTCAGGGTCAGCTATTTAGTGTTCCTTATGCATAGGAGAGCAGATCTATGGGGACCAGATGGAAAGGAGCTTGAACTTCGTCTACATATAAATCTAGACTCTGTTCTAGCGTTGGAATTCGACTTGAACAGATGGTTCGACAAGCGTGCGCGGAAATACCCGTTTCCCAATCCCTTCATTTTCCTTCCATTCAATGCATGACCGATTATCTGCTCAGGGCAACAGTTACATTGCTCATGAAGTTATTCATTACCACCACCCATCTCATACCCCATTTTATACTTTAGTTTGCCTACAATGAAATGCTCATTCGTTTGCTGTCGCGATTATACTGTCCCCCGAGCCCGCAATGCATCCATCTGCGTGGGGTCGATAGCGGTTCGGGCCGAGAAACAACTCGACACTTTACGCCAAGGCAAGTCTCTCTTTGACATACTTTGCAGCCATCCAACCAAGTTCTTCCTCGCAGGGTGGTATGTAAGTCAAGATGGAAGATGTAGATGATGTTGAAGTCACACAGTGACCTGCTATACGGAGACACATCGACATATCACATTACCAGTATTTTTTTTTGGCAAGTTTGAAGAAGCGTAAATTTTCTACGAGAACAGAATTTTGTTTATTCAAACACAATTATTAGTAGCCTTGTAAACATCGAGAAGTAATGATTGTAGCATACATTTCAACGAACGACGTGTTATAGATACAACAGACCCTACTCGCAATGCCCTATCATCCCAAACAACCAACACCTTCATCGACTCCAAATATATACCTCATCTAATATAAATATTCACACTGTGTATGAGCGTTAGATGGATACATGATTATTTTAGTTGGAGACCGCAGAGGTAGACGAAGTAGTTGCGAAGCCGACTTGGTGGTTACTGGTGTCGAACACAGAGTAGAAGCGTTGACTGTAGGGCAAGTAGTCAGCTTTATACCGAACAAGGTCAGTTAAAATACAGACAGGAATGAGTAACCGTTGATGAAGTCGAGACCAGTGCCAGAGTTGGAACCGATATCATTGACGATAAGGTAGATGTTATTGCTGCTACCACCGATGTCAGTGTTAAGGGAACGGGGCCAGATTTGGCCGTTGGGGGTGAGGCCGTAAGAAGTACCACCGATGTTGAAGTTCAGGGTTTGCAGGTTAGCATACTGCCCAGACGTGATCATCAAGAGACCGGTGTTGCTATCCAACGTAGCACCAGTAGCAGACTGGTACTTGTTGAATGCATCTAGTATCCTCCAGTCAGTTGGGGTGACCCATTCATAAGTAACTTGACATACCGGTGGCGATGAGAATGAGGGTCGTGCCAGTGTCGACGATACCAGCAGTCGCGGACAAAATGGTGGAGCTACCGTAGGTGATCGATTGGTCGATACCCCAGTATTCGCCAGAAGGCAACGTGGTCGTGAGAGGGACGTAATTCACTGAGCTCGTTGTCTTTGAGCTGTCGAATCCACCAAATGTGAGCTCCCCAGCGCTGCCACCAGGAGCAAAGTAGACTCCGAGTGCCTCAGTGCCAATGGTACCCTTGCCATAGAGGTTGTCGGTCACAGTGGGGACTAAACCAACATTGGAAACGGTGCCCAGCGTCAGGTCAGTCGGTCCGACACCAAGAATTCCATCAATGCCATCAAGCCCTTGTGCACTGGTTGCGACCCCGATAGATTGTCCGGTGATGACCAAATCAGAACTGAGAGTAACTGTGTCCAAGTATTCCTCTCCGGAAAACCTGCCGGAACCATAAGAGACGGACTAAAGGGTTGTTATGATCAACTATTTAGCAGAGAGCGTGAAAAGACATACGACAGAGCCACCAGTATCCACACTAGTATTGGTGCGTTTGTATGGGGTGTTTGCACCCACCCAGGTGTTGGAGCTGCCCGTATCAATGAGGAGCGTGTCTAGGAATTATTTTAGTCAAAAATATCTGAGGTCACTCAACAGAGAGTCTTACACTGAGTTGCAGGGCTGCCGACACCAACTTGGGCAGTGTAACTCGTGACAGCATTGGCTATACTGAACGAGGAGCTGCTAGCACGCTTGCTGAAACTGGTATGTTGCATCGCCTGAGCACGGGCCCTGTCAGCATCAGCGATGTTGGTAGTACCAGCCCTGGCGTTCATCCTAGCGTTGAAGGCGAGGGTCGGCGCAGCTTCATGGCGCAGGGGGAATGCATCCACAGCGGACAGTGCGATAAGGAGAATAGAAAGGAGAGCCTTAGAAGGGAACATCTGAAAGTACTGGGTGAGGAATGAGATGAGGCTTCAATAGTCAATGCAAAGACTTTATATATGTCCTGGCCTCCGACATAACCATGGAATACCCACAGTCTCGACGCATGTAAGAAGCAGGACTTGCTGTGTTTCCGTCCCATCCTAGGGAGGTTACGAGATATCGATGAGAGGTCTCCGAAATCGACATTGCTGCACGCCGTCGTCACCAGAAAATGATTCATTGCCATAGAAATCAGAGAGCCTAGATGATTTACCGGACCGTCTGTGAGCATCACAGTATTTTGGTGGGCCATCATGATCGAGTACGTTGCCTACCACGTTCTGGCCAGAATCGGTGCAAAGAAGATAGTATCTCGCCTATCAGACGGAGCCTGCAGAGGATCTTAACTTCGTCTTCTGCTTACCGCGACATGACAAACTTTCCGGCATGCACCACATGAGGGCTATACTTTTTCAGACTCGTTGTAAAGTTAGCCATACCAATCACTAACTGAAAACATACCATGAAGAACCACGCACATGGCCGGTACCGCCCCTGGAAACGAATCTCGAAATCACTCATGCCCGATGATCTCAAGAATTGCGGCTCGGAGACTTAATGTGGCACGCACGTTATGTCTGGCAGTAGAATCCCGAAAACCCGATTATCATGATATTTCATACAGCCACCTCGCTTATGCGGTAATCGAAGGCTGCCCACGCGCTGCTCATAATCGTACTGAGTATTGAACGTTGAACGAGGCTGGACAACGTACCGTTACTACGAATAATTTTTGTTGGTCGTAAGAAACTTCATGAAACATCTAGGGCCGCATCATCAAGCCGTTGATAAACCAAGCTAGTAAGTAATCCTGAGTTTGGTAGCAGTCATGTACACAGGTGAACTGCCAAGGCTACTGAGTACATGGACGGTGAAACAAAAGCAATGCATTTGTAACTCAGCGAAGAGCATAGTAATTTCAATCATTGGCTAGCCTGATCATTTGGGTGATCGTCGACTTGAAAGACTTCAATCAAACAACCCACAATACAACAACCATCATGTGCGTGATGGTAAATGCATTCTATTCCTTTGGGGGCCGGGCTGAATACAAGGTCTCCGTGCTCAGCGTTCATCAACGTCACGGGCCTGCAAGTGGCAGTCAATCAACTTTTGGTTGCGATGCACACGGGCATTAATTTGAGAGTGAGTCCACTCCTCAATTTGACCACGATATCCATTGGCATCCTCGTGACCTCGAGGTCATTAATATTGACAGTACACTTGTGATTTGTCGGCTACCATCATGTTTGATCGCACTCACGCAAATTCACCAACGTTCTCCAGTCGCCTTTGCATCCATGTGCTCAAAATGCTCGAAATGGTGCTTTAATAGCGGGCGGATCTACGAGGGGGGCATGAACATCCTCGGGAAATTTTCTTTCGAAGCGAGTGGAAGGAGATCGGGCGATGCGGGGTTAAAGCACTTGCTGTAGAACTCCAGTGCACTCTGAATCTCTTTTCTCACGCAGTCCTATCCTCACCTCTGATGCACCCTGGATCGTTACATTGCCATATCCCATACTATGACATCAATTTTATCATGTAGAAAGGAAAGACAATGACCAGCAACATCACCCAAAACCAAGTCGTAGCTCGAAGCGTAATAGCTGAAGTTAGACGATGGTATCAGTAGGTCCGAGTCCAAGTGAGGTCGTCAACAGCCTCCTTGTGCATTAGCAGTGCCGAGGCGGGTACTACTAAATGCGAAAGACTAGGAGCGATCTTCCAGACCAAACTGCCTTCCAAGGCGCAGACTTCCTTGTTATAACTCCCTTGGTTCATTTCACGACGGCAATCGGAGTTGCTCCCTCATTTACAGGCCCAGCCGGGTTTGTCTGATGACTATGTCGATACTGGCTCAATTGTCGAAAATATGCCGTGTGCGTATCTGTCAGTGCCTCAATCATGTGGCGCCCTCTCTTGATGTTCACGTTGTCCCTACCAACTCCCATCTACTCCAAAGCGCAATGATGTTGAATGGTCCATCCAAATGACGGTTATACATGTATTTCTTGCCTACTCATCAGCCCACGAACGTCCGGATGCAGAGGGACTTCATGCGACCATCGCATTGCTGCAGACAACAGATGGTTGATTAAAATCACACCGGTTTCTCCATTTGCACCATATTGCCACTTGGTGACGATAGATCTGGAAGCCTTGGCCGCAGAGAAGAGAGAGGATTTCAAATACTTGCGCCCTGCCCTGATGTCGTCGACTCGCAAGGTCAAGCAATGATTTTGGGTTTCAAACAGAAATGACACATGTCAGGTGTGTATTGTGTTCCAGTGCTTTAGGACTACCTTCATACGAACAGGATCTCCTCGCTCAGAGTCTCACTCTCACCATCCAAACGTTCACCAGATCAAGAGCAAATACTGATTTATCGAAGTAAGCAGGCTCGCCAGCATCGTGATTCATATCGTATGCTGTTTATTGAATGTATTGGATCAGAATTAGCTAGTAATTGACAACGAATAGAACGCTGTTGTTATGTCGTTGTTTGTTCTAGCCATCTGCTAGAAGTACGGCGTCGTCCGTCTTTTGCCCCTTCTTCACGGACAGCTCCCACAAAGATTTCGCTTAGGCTCGTTTACTGATCACCGTCTTCAGCGCTGTGCCAATCACCTGCATACTATCTATGGTGCGCTCCGCATTGTCTTCTTTGTGCGTCTTCACACTTGTCCCTTTCATCCAGTGCAGAATTCCTCATGGTTGTCGTCATCGATTCACCGCGAGCTATGTGTATACTTATGCTTCATCCATTCACACTCGTTCCGCTTGTTTCTTGAACGCTGGTTGCAATACAATAGCTACGCTCTCAGGCACCATCATCTACTGACCTCTTCATGTTCAGGTCTTTCCTGTATTCAACGCAGAATACCTTATGTTAGGTGGTGCTTCGTTTGTCGAGCGATCGCTCAACCTCGCACAAACTATACTTCATCGATCATCAACACCCATAGCTAGTCCCTTATCACATCGCACTACCCTTTCTGACCTCTAGAGTCTACGTCCCTTACATTCGACGCGAGGTACCTCGTGGTGGGCCAGGAGGTTGTCGAACTTGAATCAGCAATTGCTCGACCCATCATGGGCTATCCTTCTTCGATATGATACTCGTTTTGGCTCGTTCACTCCATCACTCGCCGCCTCCACATTCTGTTATTTCTGCACATTTACCTCTGCACATCTCCCTCCCACAGTGAGAGTGGATATGTCTCGATCCACCACGAGTTATACCCAAGCTCCATCCCTTCCCACTCTGTCACCTTACTAAATTTCATCGTCTTAACGCTGCTTGCAGCTACTCTCTGGAGCACCATGCCATGTCACTAGTCACTATCCTCTTCTGCGCATCCAATGCAGAATACCTCCGGGTGCTGAAGCCATTGCTTTACCCACCACGAGCCATCCTTCATTGATCATGATGCACACCCGTAGCTAGTCCCTTGTCCGCGTCGCACATCGTGGTGTCTTTTTACATCGCACCACCCCTTCTTTCTGCGTCTAGAGTCTATATCTAACATATGTAAGCACGCATTTCCAGCGGTTCGTGTCCAATCCGCCATGCTATGCAGCGCCGACGCACGCTCTTGCTTGGTGTCAATGGTGTTCACTCCGTCATGCTGTAACGCCGAGCATTCGCAAAAGTGTTCAAAGCCGTCGCAATATTAATACTCGCCTCTATTATGGGATGTGCGGTATCTTTATGCTTTGATGGCGAATCATCGTTCACGATGGCTTACAGGGATTCAAGTTGGGGCTGCAGCCTCAGTTGCTCATGATTGCCAAGCAACCAGTGAACCCTTGGATTGAATTACATCAATTTCGGCCATTACATGCCTGAGTCGGTTCGGCATTTAAGTTTGCCCCGGGCCCGAGGACCTCTTTGTTCCCCATGGCACAAAGGCTTTACAGGAACAGCTCAAACTTTCAACGTAAGTCCTAGCAGCATGGTCGATTGACCGATCACCTCACGTCACATGATGTTGCCATCTCGGTCCAAGTTGAGTGCCATGATCCTGCCAGTGGCAGTTACTTACGTGGTCGTTGGATTAGTGATATTGTGCGGAGTCAATCATAACTTCATCAACGAACACATGCAGTTGACTCGTGGCTAGAAATACGATATCACAGTCCTTATATTTCAACTCCGAAATATGTTCGTAACACTGTCCAACATCCTCAAACCTGTGCGAGTGCCACTCAGGCTGCGAGCAACGTTTGAGACGTAATCACCGTCATGCTTCCATGCAGCATGTTCGGATCTGACTCATCATTGCCAGACTTCGCGCTGGGAACCCCTGATGGGCCACATGATTTACCCCAAAGGTACATTACACACATAAATCACAATGACAGCAAGAATGATGACGAGTCGCCTGCCAGTACTACTCGTTTCACATCCGAACCCTTCTTTTTCCAAGGTCGGCTGCTTCGTCGGGTTCTGATAATCTAAACCATAACGGTAAGATCGTGCAAAACCCACCAGACAATAACTTGGGGGAATGTGAGCTTTGAATCTGAGCTCCAAAAGAATTCATTCAAGTTCATGCGTATAAATACGCGACGAGTCTTGAAGGTAGCTCCCCATCGCTCCTTTGATTACTCTGAGTGAGTCCAAGGCCTGCCAAGTTTCATTCGTTCTCCTTTCTGATTCATTCCCCAGGGATCTTTATCGCTACATTGAACACTTGTTCCAAATCTCTTTACTATTACACACAATGTCTGTCAAAGGTACGTTCAGAGGTTTACAGCCAGTTCCTAATAATCATTCTGAGCACACTGGCAGCCACGGAGACCGAGATTGGCATTTTCAACAACACCAAATACACAATCTCTGCCCGCATCACCGCCGACAACGGTGACACGGGGGGTCTTGGATTCTACGATATCGAGGCAGGGAAGTACGAATTGTGGAAGCGAAGCCACTGGCAAGTGGCCTTCGTGTTGAGGAGGTCGTCGGAACCATCTGATAACAAGGCGGAGACTTTGGTTGTGAAGCCTACAGGAGTTTACTACATCAACGATGATTAGAAGCAGTTGGGTCATAGTATGCGCTGTGCATACTGCTAGTACTGTAGTATGAACATACGTCTTGTTGTACAACAAAGTTGCCAAAGTGGAATCAATAGGTGTACTTGTCGATTGACGATCGTCCGCGTTTTGTATATTATATGAAAGGTCAGGGGCCCGTACATGGGCATGCCCGCCAAAACGAAGTCCTAGCACAGCTGGTCATACCTCATTCACGCGGTCTATTGGATCGCAGACCCCTCGATGCCATACTCCCTTGCAATAAACACATTTGAATAGATCCCATTCAAGGCGGACGTTCCAAAGCCAAACAACGCCATATGCACACCATACCCAGACTTGCCATAAATAATGCCATCTATCTCAAGCAAGCATATTCCAAGAGGTAGGAAAATATGAAACGAGCGAGTGAGTGGTCACCGGTTACCTGCACCGCTTGTGTGTCATATAATTTTTAGTTGTGGGTACCCTTGATTATGACTGCAGTCCCAGTAGTGATCTTATACCTTCCTGCCGTCAAAGATCGTCGGTCAGCTGCCAGGGGCTCACCTTTCTTTGTAGCAACGTGTTCAAACCTTGAAACCTTCGACCATTTGCGATGTCCTTAAAAGAAGACCGAAGGAACCGGATGATCCTGGACCAGCCGTTTACTGGCGGTGCTCTTTCGTCCATTCATGCCAGAGGAGGCCCCTCTCGAACTCCTCCACCTACTATTCCACAGCGGCCCTAGGCCGAGTGGTAGTGTGCCGGTCACAAATTTATATTTGTGGATGGTAGACGATAGGCCCGATAATCGCCACCACAGTAATCAATACGACTGAGTGAATGTGTTCGCTCAGTCGTATCGATTACTGTAAATGCACTGATGGTGCCGAACATGAATTTTTTTTGCTCTATTTCAGAAATTTGACCTCTTCAGCCGAGCTTGTCGTATGTGCCAATCGCATTGTGGAACGAGGCAATGGCTCTAGACAATCATCAGAAATCATCTCTCCCTCACCAAAAGAAACAGCTGTATCTGACCACACACTTCGTCTTGGTTCACCTGATGATGCAGTAGGACACCTCCACGATAAACCTGGGCACTACAAGAAGCTCTGTACGCTCACGTTTTATCCATCTTCTGCACCTTCAGCGATCTGCGTGGCCGCTATTAGGGGCTTGTCGATGGACGAGGCATAAACTCTATGTCTCGTCCATCGACAAGTCCCTGCCTGCAACTTGTACGAGAAGCAATGTTACTGGTACACGGATTCTGTGTGGATGAGCTTGAAGAAGATTTTTCCTCAGAATTAATAATCATGTAAAGATCACAATGCACGTAATCATTACTGCGGAGTCAGAATGTTAGGACCGCTATCTGCGACTGTCGAGGCTGTTTGTGTGGCTTATCCCCCAGGGTGGCAGAAGATGATGGATAAGCTCATGCAGGTACAGCAGTGCCGCGAAGTGGAACTAGCAGAGGCAGGCTACCTTATCAGATGTGGTTTTCATTCGTTGATGGTATAGTTTTTGCAGACTCTTTACGGAATCAGAGGTGGGCTATTTTTAGAGAATATGTGACGTGTCTCCGTTTGTTGACGATACTTTATCCTTCGTCTTAGCAAATATGTTATTTTTTTTCGTTTGTCGAGCAGAGGAGCAAACTTGAAAGGTGGGCTATTGTCGGTGTTTGTTGATTGTTGACGGCATTTGTCTTGTAGGAAATTGAGCGATTTCGCGCAAGGCTTGCAGCTTTGGAGGGCATATAACAATCCCACGACCAAAATGTTGTTCAAACACAATTATCAGTAAGGTCCTTATAAACATCGAGAAGTAATGATTGTAGCACACATTTCAACGAATGACGTGTTATAGATACAACAGACCCTACTCGCAACACTATCATCCCAAACAACCAACACCTTCATCGACTCTGAATATATACCTCATTTAATATAAATATTCACACTGGGTATGAGCGTCAGATGGATACATGATTATTTTAGTTGGAGACCGCAGAGGTAGACGAAGTAGTTGCGAAGCCGACTTGGTGGTTAGTGGTGTCGAACACAGAGTAGAAGCGTTGACTGTAGGACAAGTAGTCAGCTTTATACCGAACAAGGTCAATTAAAATACAGACAGGAATGAGTAACCGTTGATGAAGTCGAGACCAGTGCCAGAGTTGGAACCGATATCATTAACGATAAGGTAGATGTTATTGCTGGTACCACCGATGTCAGTGTTAAGGGAACGGGGCCAGATTTGGCCGTTGGGGGTGAGGCCGTAGGAAGTACCACCGATGTTGAAGTTCAGGGTTTGCAGGTTAGCATACTGCCCAGACGTGATCATCAAGAGACCGGTGTTGCTATCCAACGTAGCACCAGTAGCAGACTGGTACTTGTTGAATGCATCTAGTATCCTCCAGTCAGTTGGGGTGACCCATTCATAAGTAACTTGACATACCGGTGGCGATGAGAATGAGGGTCGTGCCAGTGTCGACGATACCAGCAGTCGCGGACAAAATAGTGGAACTACCGTAGGTGATCGATTGATCGATACCCCAGTATTCGCTAGCAGGCGACGTGGTTGTGAGAGGGACGTAATTCACTGAGCTCGTTGTCTTTGAGCTGTCGAATCCACCAAATGTGAGCTCCCCAGCGCTGCCACCAGGAGCAAAGTAGACTCCGAGTGCCTCGGTGCCAATGGTACCCTTGCTGTAGAGGTTGTCGGTCACAGTAGGGACTAAATTAACATTGGAAACGGTGCCCAGCGTCAGGTCAGTCGGTCCGACACCAAGAATTCCATCAATGCCATTAAACCCATATGCACTGCTTGCGACCCCGATAGATTGTCCGGTAATGACCAAATCGGAACCGAGGGTAACTGTGTCCAAGTATTCCTCTCCGGAAAACTCGCCGGAACCATAAGAGACGGACTAAAGGGTTATTATGAGCAACTGTTTAGCAGAGGGTGTGAAAAGACATACGACAGAGCCACCAGTATCAACACTAGTGTTGGTGCGTGTGTATGGGGTGTTTGCACCCACCCAGGTGTTGGAGCTGCCCGTATCAATGAGGAGTGTGTCTGAGAATTCTTTTAGTCGAAAATATCTCAGGTCGCTCGATGGAGAGTCTTACACTGAGTTGCAGGACTGCCGACACCAACTTGGGCAGTGTAAGATGTGACAGCACTAGCTATGCTGAACGAGGAGCTGCCTGCACGCTTGCTGAAACTAGTATGCTGCATCGCCTGAGCACGAGCCCTGTCGGCGTCAGCGATGTTAAAATTATTAGCCCTGGCGTTCACCCTAGCGGTGAAGGCGAGGGTCGGCGCAGCTTCATGGCGCAGGGGGAATGCATCCACAGCGGACAGTGCGATAAGGAGAATAGAAAGGAGAGCCTTAGAAGGGAACATCTGAAGGTACGGTACTGGGTGAGGAATGAGATCAACTGGAAGTGAGGGTTCAATCGTCAACGCAGAGACTTTATATATGTCCTGGCCTCCGACTTAATCATGCGATACCCACAGTCTCAAGTCATGTAAGACGCAGGACTTGCTGTATTTCCGTCCCATCCTAGGCCCGGGTTACGAGATATCGATAAGAGGTCTCTGAAATTAACATTGCTGCACGCCGTCGTGACCGTAAAATGATTCGTTGCTATAGAAATCAGAGAGCCTAGATGATTTACCGGACTGTGAGCATCACAGTATTTTGGTGAGCCATCACGATCGAGTACGTTTCTTACCACGTTCTGGCCAGAATCGGTGCAAAGAACATAGTATTTCGCCTATCAGGCGGAGCTTGCAGAGGATCATGACTTTGTCTTCTGCTAAACACGACATGATAAACTTTCCGGCATGTGCATAAGGGCTATACTTTTTCAGAGTCGTTGTAACTAGTCATACCAGTGTAATTGAAAACACACCATGAAGAACCACACACATGAATGGTACCGCCACTGGGAATAAGTCTCGAAATCAATGATATCAAGAATTGCGGCTCGGAGACTTAACACACGCACGTTAGTATGTCTGGCAGTAGGGTCCCGAAAGCCTGATCATGTTCATACAGCCGCTTATTCCGTAATCGAAGACGGCCCACGCGCTGCTCAGAATCGTACTGAGTACTGAGTATTAAATACTGAACGTTGATCGAGGCTGGACAACGCACTGTTATGAATAATTAATGTTGGTCGTAAGAAACTTCATGAAACTTCTAGTGCCATCATCAAGCCCGTTGACAAGCCAAGCTGGTAATTTTGATTTTGGTAGCGGTCGTGTGGGTAAAGTTTATTTTGAACTGCCAAGGCTACTGCCCGCAAGTGTACTGAGCCTGAGTGAAACAAAAGATATTTGTAACTCAAGCTTCAAAGGTTCGCGAAGATTAATATAACGATTTTACGTAATTGCCTTGGTTTGATCATCATCCGGGTCTGATTGTCGACTTAAAAGACTCATTCTGCAACAGAGCCATCGATCATGCGCGTGATGGTAAATACATTCCATTCCTTTTGGGGCCGGAGCTGAATACAAGGTCTCCGTGCTCAGCCTTCGAACGTTCATCAACCTCATCGGCCTGCATGTGGCAGTCAATCAACTTTTGGTTGCGATGCACGTGGGCATTAATTTGAGACTGAGTACACTCCTCAATTTGACCACGATATCATGACCTCGAGGTAATTAATATCGATAGTACACTAGTACTTGATGCGATGTGGTGCGATTCGTTGGCCACCATTTTGATCTAGAACGTACTTCCGCAAATTCACCGACGTGCTCCGATTACCTTTGTGCATCCATGTGCTCGAAATGATGCTTTTCATAGCGGATCTACGAGGGGGCCGTAAGCATCATCGGAAGACCTTCTTTCGAAGCGAGTACAAGGTGGTCGGGCGATGCGATCGATACGGAGTCAAAGCACTTGCTGTAGAACTCCAGTACACTCCTCATCTCTTTCTCACGCAGCCCTCTCCTCATCTCTAATGCACCCTGAATTATTACATTGCAATATCTTCATC